CAGTATGAACGCAAAAACTGGATGTCAGATGATACATGGGTTAAGGTTGAAGAAAGGAGAAAGGCCAAAGAAAAGGTCTTATATGCCACCACAAGACAACAGAAAAGACAAACACAAGACCTCTATAGGGAGAAAGACAAAGAAGCGAAGAAGAAATGTATATATGTTGAACAACTAGCACAAGAAGCAGAAATTGCCTGTAGCAAAGGAGACATAAAAATTTCTCTACAATACAACTAGACAACTTAGTGGCAGACGATCCAACTCAAATGCTCCAGTTAAACATAAAAAATGGCAATGTAATTACCAAAATTGAAGAACAATTAAAACGATGGAAAGAACATTTTGAAGAAGTGCTAAACAGACCCCCTCCAACAGACCCATCTAACATAGAAGGGAGAAAAGTCCTGAATATCAAGACAGGAGATATAACTAAAACAGAAGTTAATGCTGCAATAAAACAACTTAAAAATGGAAAATCAGGAGGAATTTACAACATACCCCCTGAAGCTATTAAGGCAACGGATAACATCTGTATTGATAAACTTCACCAACTACTCAACACAATATGGAATGGTGAACATATACCTGAAGACTGACGTAAAGGAATCCTCATTAAACTATCAAAGAAGGGCGACAACTCCATCTGTAACAATTGGAGAGGTATTATTTTGCTTTCCATTCCTATCAAAGTCCTATGTCACATCATCCTACAAAGATTAAAGAAAGAAGTTGATAAATTGCTGAGAGATGAACAGGCCAGTTTCAGACTGGCAAGAGAGATCATGTATTGACCAAATTGATACACTAAGAATCATCATTGAGCAAACTATTGAATGGCATACATCCCTATACTTAACATTTATAGATTTTGAGAGGGCCTTTACTAGTATAGACCATCAAGTACTGTGGGACATCCTCAGATATTATGGAATACCTGAAAAGATCATATCCGTTATCCAACAGCTCTATGATGGATTTTCATGTCAAGTGATCCATGCAGGGACCCTAACAGATCCATTTCCTGTATCAACTGGTGTCAGGCAAGGATGTCTACTCTCTTCTCTCCCTTTTCTGGTGGTTATAGACTGGGTGAGTCGGAAATCATACAATATTCCTCTGGGCATTAATTGGACATTACAGTCGTGCTTCGAAGACCTTGACTTTGCAGACGATATCTGCCAGCTTTCCCACCGCCATGAAGATTCACAAAACCAAGCAACCAACCTTGAAACAACTGCAAAACAATTAGGACTGTACATAAATGCAAAAAAGACAAAATCTATGAGGGTTAACGCACACCAACTTAACAAAACCAAAGTGAGAGATGCTGAAATTGAGGATGTCCCAGAATTCACATATCTTGGAAGTGTCATCGGTACACGATACGTAAAAACAACACAAACGTAACTAGACAGGCGTTAGATTGGAATCCGCAGGACCATCGTAAAAGAGGGCAACTAAAAACCACCTGGTGCAGAGATCTAACCTCTGATCTACAGAAAATCGGGAAAACATGGGGAGCAGGGGCGTTTCTATGATATTTGAAAGATGGGGCGTAGAATGAAATATTTTTTGGACCTTTTTTTAGCTAAAAAAAACATAAAATAATTAATGAATATGATAAATTGCCATATTCAATACAATATTAGCAGATTACGATAGTTTTTTTTTAAAAGGGGGGCGTACGCCCATTACGCCCTCACCTGGACCCGCCCCTGGGGAGAAACAAAGAAACTAGCCAAGGACAGGAACACCATTACAGTCATGTTTACCGAATCGGAATTGACGTATCTTAATTTTCTAATAAATCATCGTAAATTTCATTTATGTCATCCAACATATAAAAAGAATTCTGCTATATTCGACGGCAAATTGAATTTTTGTTTTATTGTTTCTTCTACAGAATATCTCCAGATGAGGTCCAGATTCAATTTTTTGTACTCTTCACCAGAAGACATTCTGGAGATGTACAGAAGAGACCAATAAAACACGCCCCATACTAAAAATGTGCGCACGATCAACGCTTTTGCAACCCTCTTAAGTTTTACTGAGATTTAAAATTGGCATTTGATTATGGTTCCAATGACACACTTAATTTTTCAAATTATGTTTTTAATGTTCGTCAACTTGGGTTTGTATTTGATATAGCCTTCTACTGTTTTAATTACGGCACCACAGGTGAGTCTTGTGTAGACCAAACTCGTAATGGCATAATTATAAGCCGATGATAAGCCTGGTAGATTATATGAGTTTTTCACCCCCAAACATGACTATCCTGTACGATTTTTTTTTCCTTATTTAATATTTATTAATGAAATGCACATTTATACCCCGAGGGGTTGAAGGCATATACACAATGCAATACAAATATATACACAATGCAATACAAATATATACTCAATGCAAAAATTATAGAATGTTAAATCATCATATATACCGGTAGTAAAAAAAGTAATAATATTTATGCTGTTGTTGTGTCCACTCTCCTCGGTGCAAATGACTTTTTAATGAACGGAACAGTAAGCTGCTGCATAATATTAAATGTAGATAGAAGTAACTGTAATTTATCTTTTTCAGATGATTTCATAATTCCTGGATGAATATTATTGATGTCTTTTTTAAGCTGTTTTCTTAAAGATTTATTAGTTGCATATGTTAAAGAAAATAGTTTCATCTTCAAACTCATTAATATTACAATGTTTTCCAGTTCTATTTTCTCTTTGGATTCTTTTATTTCCTCTCTATTTCCAAGAAATGGTCACTTACTCGCATTTTACATAATATTTTTCGATTTCCAAAATATATTTAAGAATGCATTTGTCTAACTCATATGTTGTCTTAATTTTACTGTCAAAGAACATTTCACTTGTTTCATTAGTTGATTTTAATTATTCAAAGGATATATTTTCAAAGCTATCGTTTAGTTCCTTTTTAATATTTTTTGAGAATGAACTCTTCTCTTGTTTATAGTTTATTTCCTGTATTTCCAGTAACTTAATCTTTTCTCTAATTGCAAACAAGGAATTGTATAGGTCGGAACATATACAAATCCTTGTTGCAAACAATGTTTAATAACATAATAATTTAATATAATTTAATAACAATATTCAAATTGAAATATGCATACAACAAAATTGTCCAACACATCATTATATGTAAATGAACTTAAACTCTATATGATCGATCCATATTCACAAATATGACAATAAACGGTAAACTGTACGTTGTAGTTACTGGAGCACCATCGATGAACTGACAGTTGGACAATTTCTTTATATGATATAACGGAAACCCCACCCTTTAAACCGCCCAAGGATTTCACGTGCATATATAAAACTGAGAATGGGAAATGCGTCAAAGAGACAACAACCCGACCAAAGAGCAGAAAAGAGCCCAAGACCACAAATGGGTCTTCAACACATCGAGAAAATCCCGCACCCGGAAGCGGGCTTCAGCTGGCCCCTAAACAATGTATACTATATAGTTCAGCGAAAATGGATAACCAATATATCTAAATCCAATAACAACCACTCGTTTCACAACTTCTCTAACCAGTTTTTAATATATTTAACTATATTTAATGCAGGGGAAACCCTAAAGTCAAACGAAAACAAATAAATAAATCTTTTTTCTTTTTACGGTTTATTTATTTAATAAACATAGTCTTTACAATAAACACACCATCTGAAGTCCTGCCGTTCTTCTTAAAGCCTAGTTGATGGTGGCATATATTATTTTCAAATAAAATAAGTAACCTACAATTTATAACCATATTAAATAATTTCCTCAGACAGCTCATCAGAGAAATTCCTCTGTAACTAGATGATCCCCACTTTTAAATATAGGAACAATAAATGACTTATTCCAATTTTCAGGATATAGAGAGGCGCTATAATTTGGTCACGGCTTTATCAGAAGTATATTGTGTATGTCCTGATTTTGTTCGAAGCCCAAAGAACACATTAGCTGTGGGAATTTTAATAGAGATTGAGAGACTTTTCAATAATTCTCCCTAGCGTGACAAATTCAGGGAAAATTATCCCCATCTCTTTCGATAACAAAGCTCTATTTTAATGAGGTTTTGATAAAATATACCCGCCAAAGTTTACAGTAAAACACAGATGTCTTTTGCTGGCTGTCTCGATGACTTATAAACCCAGTCATACATTTTTTTCATACTAAAACGTTTAGCAGGAAATAGTTATAGGAATTTATTTAAATGATTACACTCTGGCTTAACAATCAACAGAGGGAACAGGGTAGAAAATTTGGTCACTACTCTCAAAATTGTGGTATTAAACTTTGCTTTTATCCCAACTCGATTTTCATAGTTGAAATATTTATAACAAAGTTGGTTACAAATCTTAAGGATTATTCATAAATGACATTTTACTTGCACCCCAAGTGTGACTGGGGAATAGAAATGTGGTCACTACAGGTCTTCTTCCGATCGGCAGTAAAATCTTGCCAAAGTGGGTCCGTTTGGCTGTGCGTTAAATCCGATGCCTCGTGTAGAGGGTGTCACGCTCTCTGCACGTTAAGAAACCGTATAACAACTCTTAGAGGGGTCCGTAGGTGGCCTGTTGCAAGGCAAAATTTCTGTCCGTATCCAATATACATGGATTAGATATTTGCCACTGGACGTTAAGGAACCAACAATCAACCAATCAATCATTTTACTTGCAAACTGATTAAAATATAGATTATGTGTCCAAGCTTTGTATAAGGTTGTAAGAGAAGCACAGGATCTGTATCTTAATGAGATTTTGCTTGGTAAAACATCTCGTCCACCACTCAAATGTATCTTCTACAACTACGGTCACTTCTCGTCCACATTGCACCACTCAAAGGTATCTTCTACAACTACGGTCACTTCTCGTCCACATTGCACCACTCAAAGGTATCTTCTACAACTACGGTCACTTCTGCTTATCAACGCTCTTGACACTTATTTGGAAAATCAAAAGAGGTCAACAATATCAGATAACGAAAAGGAAATGTCTGCCATAACTCTTGTTTTGTTAGCATTTACCAGTGTTTCTTCGGGACTTCTTCTTGATGGTATACCCTCTCAAGAGGAATTGCATTCTGATGCCACTCTTCAGCTTCTCCTATCGGAGGTTACTAGACTTAGCAATGAACTGAAAGAAGCTCAGGGGAAAATTAACACCTTGGACAATCAAGTCGGTAAAACACTTATTTAGACACCTTCGTGATACTTGTATCTCTTTTTTCGAGGAATAAACATCAATGCAGCAAATTTAATATAATGATATTAATGATTCATATAGTCATATTTTTTAATATTGTTTATTTTAATACACAAAAACATTGTGCAAAGTAAGTCTTGTGTATTCCTAAACAAATTCAAATGCTCAATAAAAACAATGGATACTAAAATTACTTCAAAACGATAGTCAGTGTGTTTTGTTTTCCAGACAAGCTAACGAATAAAGATCGTGACATTGCATTCTTTGCCTACCTAGGACCTGATATGGTAAACCCTAGTTCTGGAACAACAATAGTTTTCAATGAACCAATGACGAATTCAGGCAACGATTATGATCCACAACATGGAGTTTTCACGGCCTCTGTCAATGGAACATATAACTTTCACCTAGTTGCCGCCTCACCCGAGAACAGCGACCCCTCCCATCAATTTCATTTATACATCACGAAGAACAAGCCTGGATCTTACGTGTCATATGGTTGGTTGGACAGAACTACGGACCATTGGGTTCAGACCAGTGCTTCTGCTGTTCTGCATTTGCTTCAAGGAGATAGAGTTTGGGTTGAAGTTGGTTTAGTCCTAGGTTCACACACCCTTGCAGGACACAACGACAATAGAGCACACACATATTGGTCTGGTTTTCTGATCCATGCTGATTAAAACATTTACCAAATAAAACAACCATAGATTAATATTGTTGTCCATTCTTTGATCACTGTTTTCATTTCTATATTAGTAAATCACTGATTTTTGTACTCCCTTTTTGTATTTCAAAAATCCTGTTACTGAAAGATTTCACACTTGAATTTGTAGTATGACTGTTATCAGGCTGTTATATCGTGCGGAATTTAAATAAATATAAAACAAGTAACTGTCTTATACGAATGACAAATAGTTTTACTTCCAAATTCTAAATCAGCACAAATAGCACATGTTGGACTCAGTGCTACATCTAATTTAAAAATTAAAAAAAACACAACTTTATAGATGGAGAAATTAAACACAATTTCACTACCCTTGCAAGTTGACTATATTGAAACCTTTCATGGCTATTTAACAAATTACCGAATATGATCCAAAAATAATTAATAAAATAAATGTAAAGTATTTAATATTTCACGTACTAGTATGTTTTAACAAATAATAAGATAACAATCATGATAAAATAAATTGCTTCGCCGAGCGCAGCTGGATACGACCGCAGAGGTCCAACCCTTAACAGGTGGGGAAAAAATGGACACAATATTCGCGCTTGATACAGGTCTGAATTTGGATTGTAATTAAATATTTGACACATAATAGGTTTCTGACACAGAATAACTGTAGTCAAAGAACTTAGAATTGGTTATATGATTTGAATTTATATTCAATTTTTTGCTGTTGCGAATTGACCCCCCCCCCCAAAAAAAAAAATGTACCCCATTTTTTTTTGCTTTTGTGCAATACACTATGCTGTTGCGAATTGACCCCCCCCCCCCCTCCCCCCCCAAAAAAAAAATTACCCCCCTTTTTTTTGCTTTTGTGCAATACACTATGCTGTTGCAAATTGACCCCCCCAAAAAAAAAAATTTACCCCTCCTTTTTCTTTTTAATTTCTGAAACCTGAAATGAGAAAAAATTGTTCCCCCTCACAATTTCTTTTTTACCCCCCCCCCCCCCCCCCCTTTTTTTTCAAAAAAAAAAATTCTTTCCCTCAAGATATCGACATAATCTCAATTCAAATTTCCAATGGAGTTTGCAACCATAATTACCCATTTAAATACATCATAAAAGTCTTAAAATAGAAAATGACATACATAATCATGGCTAAAATTAATATTCCTTAATCAGCATTTTTAAATAGTAACTTTTAAAAATAAATTGACAGCTAATCACCTCAAGACAATACAACATTTCTTTATACATAATTTAAAAGCAGTGTAAGGGAGGTAATCCAAACATTATATTGTACTTTTTTTAATTGTCCATTAACCAGGAAACCCTTGTTTTCCCCCCTTTTTTGCCCCTAATTCCTAAACGGTTTGAGCCATAATCCCACAAAGCCAATCCTAACAATCCCTTTGTGGATTGGAAACTCTAGGTATAATTTCAGAGAGATCCATACACCGTTCCACAAGTTATTGTCTGGAAACTAGAAAAATGCTTACTTGGGCCCCTTTTTGGCCCCTTAATTCCTAAACTGTTAGGACTATAACCCCCAAAATCAATCCCAACCTTCCTTTTGTGGTTATAAACCTTGTGTTTAAATTTCATAGATTTCTATATACATTTACTAAAGTTATTGTCCGGAAACCAAATGTCTAAGGACGACGCTGATGATGACGACGTGATACCAATATACGACCGCAAAATTTTTTCCGGTCGTATAAAAACCATATTTGTAATATTTTATCATTTTTTCAGTCGACAGTAATGTGAAGAGATAAATTCTGTATGCTATATACTAAATAAATGGACTCTTGTGATATATAAATATTCTTTATGTATCATCAACTTTCCTATGTTGACAATACGAATGAAACAAAGAAAAATACTATGGTCCTTACTTTTTCTCATCGATTATATCAAAAGAACTTTTTACTTTCTTGTCAAACAGTTATATCTTCATATCTAGAATCTTGATGTTGCTATTAATGAATAAAGAAAAAATCGACAGGATGTAAGATCATAAGTTTTCATAACTATTGTCATTTCAATGTACTTATATTTTGGCATTGTAAAAAGTCATGCTATTCTCAGACTGCTAATGGCGTCTTTTCACTAAATCCAGTGGGATGTGTATAGATTAATACTCAAGTCTGGGAGAACATTATTTAAGAAATAATTCGTTAGGCATTATATTTGTCAATATCTTTATAAATATCTTTATACCGAGCAATAGCAAGGTGTTAAATATTGACAAATATAATGCTTACCCATGTTAAAATGAGCATAAAGCATGGCATGATAGAATTATATCGATTCTGATATATTTAGGAATATTTAGAACGTTTGATCTTCGAAGCGACCTATAATACACATTCAAAAGGCAGCCATATTGATTTGGTGAACCAAAAACGTTATCAAAAATCAACAGTTGAACGATAAAAAAATTAACATATATACGTAACTTTACTTTTAGAATGATTTTATTTAATTTCCTAGCGAGCAACACCAACAAAACTTTCCATTTCGACCTCCAGCGTTGTTCAAACTACAACTGACGTTGCAATTTCAATTTGTTGTCGTAATTTTTTTTAGTTTATTGTTTGAAATAAATCAGCATAAATCATGCCGCTGATTTCCTCGTTTGAATTGTATCACATTATGTCATGTCAGGACCTTTTATAGCTGACTATACTGTATGGGTGTTGATCATTGATGAAGGCCATATTTTGACCTGCATGCAGTTGCTTACATCCAAGTCATTTCGACTCTAGTTGATAATTGTCTCATTTACAATCATACAACGTCTCCTTATTTTCATATACTAGTAAATAAGAAAACTTTTTAGTGGATTAAACATATTTTTCCCCTTCATCTATCAAAGTCACCTTGGTAAAGGAAAGTCACAACAAACACATTCTAGTTTGTGATATATTTAAACAATTCAAGAAATGGCACACCTGGAAAAGAGAGGCGAATGAAACCAAAGGGAAAATCAACACAACTTGGAACATAACCTGGAAATGTTTAATCTGGCAATCAGCTCAGTCTTTGGTTTTCTATGTTGTGTTTTGGGTGCTGTTGTGTGTCTGTTGGTCTTTTTCTTTATTAGCCATGCATGGAGTTGTCAGTTTATTTTCGACTTATGAGTTTGAATGTCCCTTTGGTATTTTTCGCCTCTACTTTGTGAATAGATTTGACAGATTTTCAAAGATCTGCCGTCAACACTTAATCGACGAGGTTCTTGTATTTGGACTGACCCATAAACGAGAAGGGTGGGCAAGCTACTTCGTAGATTTGTTTCGTTTCTTATACATCCTTGGCTTTACAATATTTGGCATTAAGCGTTCCTGATGAAGGTTAATCCAGAAAAGCGCTTCAAACGCATGAAATTTATAACATGTTTTCAATTTTTATTTAGTACTAAACCATCCCCTTTTATCTGTTTTAATCATTTTTTTAAGGCAAACAAAATGATTAAAATAACTGAAACAGTTTTCAATGTTTGATAGAAACTTCACGACAACCATTCATTTAATAACATATTTAATAAATAAATAGCAAGAACACAGCAGATCATTCTATAAATTATAACAGTTTACATTTCATGTTGATTGTTTTTTATCACTAGGACAAAATCTCATATCTGGCGTTGATCTTTGATACCATTCTGTCCATGACCCATCGTATACGGACACATCTTCTTTCCCACACAAATAGGCAGCAAATGTCGTGCAACAAGCAGTTACACCTAAAACAGAAGTAATACATATATATGTCACTTACATTTGAAAAATTATTTTCCATTTACATGTAAACGGTACCTGCAATATAACCTTGAAAGCAAAGATTATGACCCTAGATGACAGATAACGACTCTTTTCGTTGGACGGTTCATGAACAGCTCTTAACTTCTTAGATTTTATATTTGACTGTCCTTATACTTTTTAAAATTACAAGTCAAATATAATTGCAAAAAATATATGCTTCTTTGAAAAAAAAGTAAAACAACATTTAATAAATTTCATGCGTCTGGTGAGCTTTTCTAGACTTACCTTCATCGGGAACGCTCAAAGCCGAATATTCAAAAGCCAATGATGTATATGAACCGAAAAAGTTGAGGAGCTACATGACCAAAAAAATAGCCAAATCCATCTAAGGTCAATTTTCCCTGAGGTAGTTGTAACTTTAGTTTCTTTATAAGTTCAAAATTTATAATCAGACAATTTTAGGAATGTATCTTATTTGGGTTACATGCGAAATCAGGCCATGACCCTTGAAGGCATACTAGTATATCGATAGATTCAATAATTGTCTTTATTATTTTACAAGGATACACATCCTTGTTTTTTATAACTAAATGCTCACATATGTCTGAATATCTCGCTTGGCAGTCATATCTACATTTACATGTTGCTAGATTGTTTACCTTCAAATAGACTTCGTACAGAAAATATTCCCCTAAATGAAAGCAATTGGTAAAAAAGTTCTGAAGAAGAAAAAAAAATTCTCTAATGAAGCCACCGCCGAATATGAATGCATCTGATGCTCTATAACATTCCTCGCAGGCAAAAGATACCAATAAAATAAGAATAGTTATGAACCACACAAGGAACTATTCTATTTTGTTGCTTTCAATTGGTTTACCAGTTCTCAAGAAGAAGTTATTCCTTTCAGCTCTATATATATATATATATATATATATATATACATTTCTCCACCCAAAACAAATATAAGTGTTGGCAATAGAGGTCATGTTTGTTATCCGATCGGAACAACATTACAATATAAAAATAAAATGCTCCGCTGGGCGCAGCTTGATACGACCACAGAGGTCGAACCCTGAACAGTTGGGGCAAGTATGGACACAACATTCAAGCTTGATACAGCACTGAATTTGGATTGTGATTAAATATTTGACACAGCATATATATAGGTTTCTGACACAGAATGAATGTGGTCTAAGAACTTAAAAATTTTTGATTTACCTATTTAAACCATATCATTATTATTTGCTTTTATATATAAATCAAAAATAACCAATTTAAAATGGGAAAATTTTAAAGAAAAAAAAGGGGAAAAAAAATCCCCTCCCAATTTTTTGAACCCCCTTATGATTCATCACCCCCAAACTCAATCCCAGCTTTCCCTTTGTGGTATGGTACCTTGCAGTACAATTTCAGAGAGATCCATACACTTGAACACAAGTTATTGTCTGGAAACTAGAAAAATGCTTGATTTTTTGGCCCCAAATTCCTAAACGTTTCAGGCAATTACCCGCAAACTCAAACCCAGCTTTCCCTTTGTGATATGGAACCTTGTAGTACAATTTCATAAAGATCCATACACTTACACACAAGTTATTGTCCAGAAACTAGAAAAATGCTTGTTTTTTGCCCCTTTTTGGCCCCTAATTCCTAAAATTTTAAGGAAATTACCCCCAAAATCAATCCCAGCCTTCCATTTGTGGTATGGTACTTTGCAGTACAATTTCAGAGAGACCCATACACTTGAACACAAGTTATTCTCTGGAAATTAGAAAAATGCTTATTTTTGGCCCCTTTTTGGCCCCTTATTCCTAAACCTTTCGGGCAATTACCCCAAACTCAATTCCAGCTTTCCTTTTGTGATATGGAATCTTGTAGTACAATTTCAGAAAGATCCATACACTTACACACAAGTTATTGTCATGAAACTAGAAAAATGCTTTTTTGCCCCTTACATGGCCCCTAATTCCTAAAATTTTGAGGCAATTACCCCCAAAATCAATCCCAGCATTCCCTTTGTGATATGGAACCTTGTGGTACAATGTGAGAGAGATCCATACACTAACACACAAGTTATGTCTGGAAGATACAAAAATGCTTATTTTTGGCCCCTAATTCCTTAACTGTTGGTACCATAACCCCCAAAATCAATCCCAACCTTCCTTTTGTGGTATTGAACCTTATGGTAAAATTTCATAGAGATCCATTCACTTAAACTAAAGTTAGAGTGCGAAAACCAATGTGTCTTCAGACGACGACGCCAACGTCATACCAATATATGACCGCTTTTTTTGCGGTCGTATAATAAGGAGATGTGGTATGATTGCCAATAAGACAACTAAACTAACCACCAAAGTTCAAATGAAGTGGGTGTAAACTCATTTAACTATTAAATTAAGTTCGGTCTAATTTGCCACTATCGTCAGGGAAGGAAGTCAGCTTATAATTAACTACGGACGATTATTTATGGCAAAACGTCATGCAGCAATTTGGTTCGTTCGAAAAAAAATTAACTTACCAAATAACACATTTTAATTTATATTGCATCATAAAAGTAATAGGATATTGTATTACGAACATTTTCGCTCATTACCTAGAACGTCTATAACCGGTTTTGAAGGATTCAAACATTGCTTTGCTTACTTAACATACCTGGACCATTTTTATTTTTCGGAATTTCTGTGAAATTAACTTTGCTCCGTTTTAATCTGTTAGAAATGTTCACGAGAGACAAATATTCTAAAAAAAAAAGATCCAAAGGTATTTAATTAGTTTTTAGACAAGAAATGTTTGCTTACCTGAACCACAAGTGGATACTAATGGTTTCGATAAATCAATTCCAGTTTCATTGAAAAGTTTTTTAAGCTCTTTTACATCAAGCATAACACCGCTTTCCTTATCCACAATATTTTGGTAACAGAGATTCTTTGTACCCGGTATATGACCAGGCTCTATACCTATAATAAAACAGAAAAGTTATTATAAAAAAAAAATGTTAACCAAATCTTTAATACATTGACCGAATTTGATCAAACTTTGAATATCAAGATTTCCTACAGATTGTATTAGAGTGGAACTGCTTATTTCTTTTTTTATTATGTAAACCGGGACAAAAACGAGCTATGATTTACAGGTTCCCGTCATAATTAAAATAAATAAAAGAGGTCTCGTTTAACTTTTCTTCCAGTACGCACCAGCGGTCAACTGGTCGACTACGAGTATCCTGCCTCACTTTTGGAGTTATAACAAAGAAAATTAACATAAAATAGGTTCAATTTATATACTTGTGCAAGTAAAGACATGTCATTTAAGTTTAACGATGGAGCTGAGCCTTGAAAGATTCAGTACTCTTACAAGAGACAGTACAGTTGTTTTGTATGATGAAGCTCTGAATGCTTTCTTGTTTTTTTTGTTGTTGAAAGGGCTTTCATTTGGTATCATTTATATAAGCTCATTTATAAATGTATTGTTTTTTATGATGTTGTTTGTCACTCCCATATTTGTCAAAGCTCTTATCTATAATTGAATTTGATCGATACATCATTACTAATCGACTCTTTTTCTTCGTTCCAGTTCTGTATGGTCCTGGACATATGCTTTTTCTTTGGTCGACTTATTGGAGATGTTTACATTCCATTTGAGAAAACCGATGGCACGATAGGCTTTGGAGCAGATCTTTAGTATTAACCTCATTTTAGATGTGTCGAAACAACCTTAATAACTAAATTACCTTCTCTTGGTTCCGGTTTGATTCCCATAAATCGCCCTTCTCCTCGAGCATCCATTAATTGAAATGAATTATCTTTTAAGTTTTTCTCAATATCCTTGTATGACTTTACTAAATGAGGGTGATAAAGTCCGTGGAATATTGTTTTCGGAACATGAATAACTTCCGATGTCGTCGGTAAACCCTCAGAGCACCATTTCATAAAACCACCATCAAGAACAGACACCATTTCATGTCCAAAAACTCTGAACATCCACCAAACTCTAGGAGCAGAAAAAAAACCGTAGTTTACACTATTATCATAAACAATAACATGAGTGCTTAGATCAATACCTAAGTTGCCTGCATACCGCTCAAAGTGTTTTATGTCTGGTAACATGTGACCGTATGGAGAGGATTTATCACAGCATTCGTCAATATCAAAATATGACGCTCCCGGGATATGCTTTTCTTCATATTCTAGTCGACCGTTTCTGTTCGAAGATGGCAAGTGAAAAGTAGAGTCAAGAATCCTAATGTCTTTTGGAACTCCACTTTTCAAAACATTGTGCAACCATTTAGTTGTGACCAGAGCACTTGCTTTTGTCAACATTCTAGAAAAGAAAATACAGATGAAAGGTAAAACTGCAAATGATAAATGAAGTGAACAATTGACTTGAAATTAATGTATATCGCTCACTTTGAATTCGTTAATGTATTATACAAATAGCAATAAAGGTTGTTTCAATTGAAATGCAAGATTTCATGCTTTAAGCATCTAAATTCTATATAAACTGAAAAAGGTCTCGATCCAGATACCATAAGACTTGAAACTGTCAAGAAACATATTCCACCATGGACAATTATTGTTCGTCTTCGTGGTTGCATATAAACTGTTGACTTCTAACCAATTTTATAATTGTAGGATCGATAGTAGGATTGGTCCATTGTACCGTTGGACTCAACACATGCGTCACGCGGGCTGGTTACCAAATTAACGCTGACAAATATGTTAGTACGGGAATGTTGAGTGTTGATTGCAGTTTTTGTCGTGAGTTGCACACAAAGCCCCTATCACAGTCGGCCACCACAATACCAACTGTTGAGTACTCTGCAATTGTCGATTATAGAAAGGACATTCGCCTACCATTTTCCACTAAATATTTTGTGTTTTATGACCATTGAGCTCTTTACTCCTGTTGAATACAGCCCTCCGATGCTTAGTCGATAACCGAAGATCAAGGAAAGAATTTTCAAATGTAAAATGTTTATTTTTGGGACACCTGACGTCTTTATCATGAGTGAGCAATTTCTACTAAATGAAAGATGGCAAGGAGATAAATAACTGATATCATTCCTTTAGTACATGGTTAAAACAGGTAAGGTAGACCTTCTAAACCCAGCACTAGATGTCATATCGAACATGTGAGTCAATGCAGCAGAGGATCTCTCAATAGCAAATTTAAAGAATAACGACACCAGATCCGACATACATTGTCACACAGCCGCTACTTTGTCAGATACGCTCAACAATATTAGCATATCGTTGTAAATACATGCAGAACAGATTTATTTCTATTTCTATTAGTAAAACATTTGTTTATCACATTACATGGATAGAAACCTATGTACCAGATTATTTATTTGATAAAACGGTCAGAATCTTACTATTGTATTTATTTTGCAGGGTATTTTTGATCATTTTTTATTTAGTATTTGTTATAACCTGAGTTTGTCCAGAAATAAAACGAATCCACCTCAGAAGAAAGTATTGTGTTTTATTAGCCCTAGAAAGTGCTACTACACTTCTAACTTGTATAGTTCATCCATATTTTTTTTTTCTCTGAATGGAGGAACAAAAAATGTGGTGTACATCTGGGAACAATATATGTGTTCCTGTGTACATTTATCGTTAAAAAATAACAGTTCTACTTTCGTAAATTGCACAACCTTTTTTCTAGTGGTCATAAAAAAGTTTTGTTTCACAGTTTTGATAGGCGTTTGCTATCTGTACATGACATACAGGTTTTGTCTTAAACCTTCAGAAATGAAACTTGAGATTCAGTTCAAACTTTAGAACAAAATATTCATGGTATAGTTAATTTTGTTAAAATTGAACTGATGGGGTGTCTCATATTACTTTGTTTTGTAAATTTAAGGACTAGTGACTACCAAAGTTTGTCATAATGAAACTATGACATTTTTTGCTTCCATGCTCGACATCTTTCCAAACTGAATTTGAAAGGAATATGAATTTGGCTTCTTCTTCTTCTTCTTCTTCCAGGTAAGGAACCGGATTCAAAATTGAATGTTATTGGTTCCGCACGAAAAATTCTGACAGCAGATACTACAACAGAACAAAACCAAATTCTGCAGGGGGAAATGATATGTGACCATGACACAAGAGATTTAATAGTGAAGTACTGAATATCTTATTTTATCTAAATCAAGTTATACAATTGTACTAAGTCTGTTTTGAATTGTAATTTAAACCGGCGTGTTCGATCCAACTAAGATACTTTTTTAACGTTAACGGGTACCTCAGTCAGTATGGTACTGAGACACGGCCCGTCTTTCCAGACATAAACATATCATAAGTTTCTCTCTTCCCGGGACACAAACGTTTGGTGACACCAAAAGTACAAAGTTACGTTAGGGTGTCAATTAAACAAATCGAGGCGTGTTCGATTATATTTCGGACGTGACCTACAGGCTACACTACAGTTGACACAGTTTTGTGTCCTCTATAAATGTAAATAGGCTTTATTCGCGCAAAAAGTATGTAACTTAGCCATTCGTTTACACAACTATCATGACTATGAAGGTGAAATATTTTTCTCACCTTTCTGAAAGACAAGAGCATTGATGAATTACTTCCCTTTTTGTTTTTGTGTACATGCATACAACATTGAAAAGAAATGTAAAATAGTATCATTAGCTTTGTAAATATTAGCTTAAAGACTATACAAAATCACAGGAGGCATGTCACTAAAATATCTTACTACTTTGAATTAAACAAAGCAAATGTTTATAATTGATATTAACGTAAGCGACATAACTTCTTTTGTGTGAAAATGTCGTCCGACGAGGAATCGGATGAAATCGAAGATCAAGAAAAATTAGAAGAAAAAGTAGACTTTACATCGTCCAGACAGGCAAAAAAAGAAGCAAGACTTAATCAAATTATTTTCGAAAACGAACATAAAGCCAAAATAAGAAAAGTATGCAAACATTTATCACTACTTTGTAGCTACACTTACACTTTTAGTACAGACTACAGTCCAAATAAATCATATAACTTTATCAGCACATCAGCACAAAATGTGCACCATAATTAAGTTACCTTGTTTTGTAACCTCCGTTGCCATAAGGGTTACAAAAGTTACATTGGTTGCACACATGGGAGAAATTAACTTTCATATTGCAATGTATTGTTTTTCCAGGTCGCAACATTAACTAACAATTATTCAGTAACATGAACATGATGAATGGGGGTCGGGATCAGGGTTATGCATCATGATGACTGATGTACAAATTATGGTTATATTGAAATTATAATTATTTGGTTTTGAGCATTCCTGATCTTGGTAAATCCAGATGCACAAACTTAAGTGTTTTCATTTTTATATGATTGAGGTTGTTAATCATGTTAATGTTATAGTAGTTATTCTGATTAAATGACATTTTTGACCCAACTTTTGCATTTTCTGACAAGCCTTTTGAAATTTATAATGCTTAAGATCTATAAGTAGGAAAAATGATCAGCAAGATCTAAAAATAAATAAGCATAAACAAAATCCTTAATTGTTTTCTCATCAGTGACATCACTTGCCATCTGTCCTCAGTCATTTTGTACCCCAAATGACATGTTGTAGGGGACAGAATTACACGACTGGCTTCTGTCCATCTATCTGGTCTTAGTAAGGGCTCTCATGTGTACAATTCTTGTCAGATTTTTATTAAATTTATATAAAAAAGGTTTTTCATAAGTTATGTCCCTTAAAACATGACCAAGGGTAAAAAAAAATATGGGTAAAATAATCATCTATCTTCCATACATGTACCTTTATAGATTGAGAAAATCTGATGGTCAAAAATGTTTATAATGTAAGAACTTCCAACTGTTCTTTTTCACCAACTTAAAAGCTGAATCACAGTGTGTGGCATGTATAAGTCAACATTGCCTAGTTGTCACCCTTGAATGACAATTTTTACATATTATTGTGGTTTTATTAAGGAACCACACATGTATATTATATAGAGAGAAGCTTTACATAACAAAATTATCAGAAGGACAATATGTACAAATAAGTCCATACTACATATAGTTTATGCACAAATACCAGTAAATATTAATGGAGTTAAAGCTTACTTAAAAAGTCTTTGATTTAGAAACAGTTGAACAATTTTGGGATTGTTTTCTATGTTAGTACCTTTAGACTTAAAGATGACTCTTGAATTTTTACAGGTTTCAAAAATATTAAAGAAAAAAGACCATGATATAACAGATGAAGAAAAAGATATTTTAAGACAATCTCCAGAAATAACTAATAGATTGGTTAAATTAAAAGAAAGGAGAGGAACATTAAAACAAAGAGTATTAGAGGTACTGCATCTGGTATATGTATATTGACATGTTGTTTTTATTGTATAATAATTATTTTTTCCCTTGTGCAAGAGGGTTGAGCCCAATGGCCAAGCCCATGGTAAATGTAATTTTTAGTATGTGTACCATGCTCATTTTGACGTGGCTCATTTCTGTTTTTAACTTGCTTAACCCATAAAAGTAGTCTTAACAGTTACTTGTAGTCCATCAGTGTGCTTAATAAAACTAAACCAATAATATAAAAATAAGGAGATGTGGTATGATTGCCAATGAGACAATTCTCCACAAGAGACCAAATGACACAAAAATTAACAACTATAGGTCTTCAACAAAGAGTAAAACGTTAACCCATACCGCATAGTCAGCAATAAAAGGCTCCTAAATGACAAATGTAAAAAATTTCAAACGAGAAAACTAATGCTGGCCTGATTTATGTACAAAACATTTGGATTGGCAAAGATGTCTTTACAAGAGTTAATTACCTAAAGACATGATGTTATTGCAAATTTAGTGTACAAATAGAAAAACACCTTGTTCTTTTGTTTCTGACGGATCCATCAGGCAAAATATTTCTGGAGATCTTCTGTAATTCCATAATATTATTAACATAATTCTCAAGGAATGATTTTTATTGAAGACTGAAATAGAATTTTAGCTAGTCTTTGTACATCAAGTTTATATTTTTTTCAATTTATTTTCACATATCTGTGTAGTGGTTACATGATTATGTATGAATGACATTTTGTTATAATTTATTTATGGATAACTGGTTTCCTTTAGAACTCTTTCAGCTTTTAAATAAAATAGAAAGTCAACAACACTCATTTTAAGCCACTGGTTGAAAGTTAAATCTCTTGTCTTTAAAGTTTATGTTTACCTCACAGAGATCCTCTTCAGCACTTCGGCTTTAGTTGATTTAACTAAAGTAATGGTACTATAAGTTGTAACTACTTAGACAATGTTTCCAAAACACAAACTTATGATAAAAGTAGAGATAAGTTACAGCAGTGTAGTTGACAGTTGTATAATGCCCCACCAGGACAGGACTAGCATCTATGTCAAATCTACTTGATAATTGTATACAATCTTGTTCTAGATTGAAGATCCTGTTGAGGAACTGGAGTTGAAATGTGAAGAACTAGCTGAAGCTATTAGACATTCCAATAAAGTTGTTGTATATACAGGTGCTGGTATAAGTACGGTAAGTTTCTTTCTCAGATCCCTAATATACACACTCCGATATTTAATTAGCTCTCAGTCTGTGTGGATAATTACAATAAGTTTTTTTTCCAAGATCCCTATTACACACACTCTGACATTTACCTAGCTCTGTGTGGATAATAGAGAACAACCATAACTATACAAAATTATGTGAATTGGGGACTAGCATATTCAGATTCAGTAATTATAAAGCATAGCCTTTTTAATGTTATGTAAACATGGAACATTATGTTATGTAAATGAGAAAAAATGGTATGATTGCCAATGAGACAACTCTCCAACAGAGACTAAATGACGTAGAAGTTAACAATTATAGATCACTGTATGGCCTTCAACAATGAGCAAAACTCATAATGCACAGCAACCTATAAATGGCCCCGATATGACAAATATAAAACAATTCAAATGAGAAAACTAACGGCCTGATCTATGTACAAAACAATAATAAAAGAACAAATAGGATATACAGCAACAAAAGACAATCACTGAATTACAGGCTCCAGACTTGGGACTTAGCTCTCTTTCAAAGGTTTATAAAAAATGGATTGTAATATGGGATATGAATCTGATGGAATTTAGTTAAAACCAAAAGCTATACTTTAAATATGAAGAAAGTAATGAAACAGCCAGTTTCACCACACAGATTGATTCATTGTTTAAAAGGACCTTTTTGATTATCTACTGTAAACCAACTTATTTTCGCGACTTTCGCGAGTAGAAAAATAATGCGAAAATAAATAGTCGCGAATATGTAAAACTTGGATCTTTCCTTATTAAACTACATCAAGTCAATTAGAAAATTGCGAAATTAAATAGCCGTGAAGTGGACTAGAAAGGGTTAAACGCGAAATAAAGTATCCGCAAAAATAAGTTGGTTTACAGTATTTGTTTTGTGTTGCAGTCTTATTGATGTATGCTCTACATTTTGTATTTATGAATTTCTGAATTGACCTGAAAGTAGTAAATGTACTACATGTAGAAGTCATGTACACACATTTTTCATAATAAAATTTTTACTTTATATAGGCAGCCTCTATACCGGACTACAGGGGACCAAATGGAGTTTGGACACTGCTACAAAAGGGACAACAACCCAAGTAGGTTTTCTAAAAGCTCACATAATTCAATTGTCTCCCTCTTCCATTTCTTGCAATTCAATTTTCAGCACTATGAATATACTGCAGAACTATTGAAGTGGCCACAGCTGTATGTCAGATCTTTTTCATGTTTGTAAGATTCCAAACCTTACCTGTTCAATTTCAATCATTCAAATATCTGGTACAATTTTATTGTGTGTGTCTTTTGACCTGACAATAAATTATTGAGGATTTGTAAGATAAAGATAATAATGGCATCTTTGTCAAGATAATTACTGTAAAAAAATCAAGTTCCAATAAATCCTGGGAGAATAAAGCATATATTGGTCATCCCACAGTAGGGGTTACAAAAATTGGGACAATGTATTGTTATTTTAAAGGGATAGTAACACAAAAAAACTGGATAAAACAGATAGTTAAAACATTTGACTATATGATATTGATTGTCAACACTCATAGTAAAGCCATTATCTTAAAGACTTACCACATAAAATCAACCATGATTAGTAAAGCAGGCGAGACATTTCAGCTTGTTCACTTTTGTTTATCAAATTCTCTTCAATTTTGTATAAAAGCTTTCAATTATCAAAATCTTGAAAAACTGCAATGGTTGAGGAATCAATTTTTGGGGAGGTGGGGGCTAATAAAAATATTCCATATTAATAATTTTGGAGTATGGGGTATGTGAGTTTGCTCTCTAAGAGTTCTATAGTTTTGGCTGTGGCCTCAAAAGGGTAAACACATATGAAATTCAACTGTCTCAAGAAAAGTGAGAATACCGGTACTCAGATTTCTGAAATCAGCAGAAACAATATTTATCCTTTCCCTCATTGTTCCTCTCCATATCAGATGACATTTCAAATTAAAAGAAAATAAATTTTCAGTAAATCAAAAATACATGAACTTTGAAGTTAAAATATACAGAAGAATCATACAAAATTAAATCCATTAGTATCATCAATTCTAGCATTGTAAAAAGATAGTCATGTGGTCAACACTATTTAGAAAAAGCACTGGGCACTTTTATATTTTTAATTGTCAGATTTGATCACTACAATAGTAGAGGATCATTATGTTTATCATAAAGTTGTGGATACATCAAAAAATTATTACACATGTTCACTATAATGCAAACGTTTTAATATAAATGTTAAATTAGGATGTTGACCTAGATTTTATGGTTCACCTATCATGATAATGTGATAGTGTGAGTGGGATTTATGTCCAAAGGTCACATATTTTTGTTTCACCTGTTATTGAATATTACAGAGCTCAAGATTTATGTGATGCTAAACCTACATTGACACATATGAGTATCAAGAAGTTAGAAGATGCAGGGCATGTAAGTATGAAATGAGATAATTTATGAAGTAGCTGATATGGAATTTTATTCATTTATTTAACAAAGTCATAGCAGGAATGTCATTCATTACTTTGTGAGATGTTTCTGTTAACAATATCATTCATCTTGTAGTTTCTTGTTTAAATCTAAATGTAAAACTTTAGAGATTTAATTCTGGATTATGAGACAACGAATCAATGCAAGAACTGACAAAATACTACATTATACAAAGTATATAAAGTTAAGTCATTTGTTATGCCAGTAAAGATTTTTAACTTTTGTAGATGTGATGATGATACAGGATAATTAAAGTAGCTCTTGACCAACTCTTTTAAAAGATTCAAACAATGTCATGGACCATAAAAACAGGTCAATTTTGATTTTGGTAGTTTTGACATTTACAGTTCAAAAGTCATGCTCCTTAGTGACCTCGAACATTGGTATTTCTTTGGTTCCACTAGATAAATAAAATACCACATGACCAAAACTTTTAAGATTTTAACACAATGTTATGAAACATAAAATACAGGTCACATTCAGTTTGAATTTTGGTTGTAGAATTTACTGTTAAAGAGTTTTTGCAAGCAGGGTTATCAGTGATTACTAGATCCTCTTATTCCAGTTTCTTTTAACTGTTGTTTCAAAAATATGCATGAATAGTATATGAATACGAATTTGATTCATCAAAATTGATGTATTTGTTGTTTGTTAAGCATCAGTTTCAAATATTACATGTATTTTAAGGAGGACCTCAAATTGAAGTCTAAAATAAGAAAATTTATTAAAGTGTGATTAAGAGTTTTCAAGAAAGAAATCATGGCATGATTCGATTCATTATCAAGTTATTTTACCTATTTAGATATATCTAACTTCCAGGTAACACATGTTGTATCTCAGAACTGTGATGGTTTACATATGAGAAGTGGTCTTAACAGAAGAAAATTATCAGAAATCCATGGAAATATGTACATAGAGGTATGTAAACACGATCGCATTTGGAATCACTAATTTTGCATTGCCCATTTATTCTTTCATCTGTCCTCAAAATACAGCTGCTGGTGATATCTTGTTGAACTGTTTGACTATTTACTCAGATGAGTACACTATGTTACAAATGGTAATTTTCATCCCTCTGCAATGGAAATGTAAATTCTATAGAAAATTGAATTGTAAGTGCTCTCAAGCCTAAATTTCTTGTTTGGTTTTGAATTGAAAATGAAGTTTATCAGCAATGCCTTGGGCAGTGCCGATCATTCATTTCAACATTTCAATATGTCCCGTTGAAATGTAAGTTCTAGTGAAAATTGCATTGTAAGTGCATTCAAGCCTACATTTCTTGTCAGGTTTTTGTGAAATTTATATCAAAGGTGTATATCAGCAGGACTTTAGACTGGTTCAATAATCAGTGCAGATCAACTATTTTTACAGGACGTATGCCCCTTGGAAAAAGAAATTCTCTGGAAAATTGCATTGTCAGCGATTTCACACCTTCATTTCCTGTAGGATATTTTTGAAAAAGTAAAGAACCAAAAAAAATGTATTTAATACTGTAAATTCAGAAATTAATGCAAGGTTTTTATTAATGCGAATAATGTGACAAGGTGATTATCGCATTAATAAGACCTCGCATTCTGATATCTCAATAATTTCTGAATTTACAGTACTTTTATCCCTCTCCATGAGTGGGGCTAGATTGTATCCACCTTGTCCATCCGTCTGTCCATTCTTCCATCAAATATTTCTGTCACACCTTTTTCTGATACTACTTTTACCTGTGAGTACATTTAAGAACTTTTGAAAACTTTCTTCCTGTTTGCTGATACTTTAAAATTTTCAATATATTGAATGAACTTTAAAAAATTTGACATATTTCTCCAGTACAGGAGTTGTAAAATGTGAGCACGTTTTCAACTTGCACATTACATATCTGCCTTGGCTTGTCGGTCAAGTACAAAGCAGGATTTATTTTCATATCACATTTTCATGTTTACTTCCTCAATATGCATTTAATTTTCTTTTAAACTTTAAAACAGCCATCATCATCATCTCAATAATGTTAAGCAAACAAAAAACAATCAATCTATATTACTAAACTTATTTAATGATTCTACTTACTGTCTTTCTCAGATTTGTTACAGTTGCAGGCCACATCAAGAGTACATCCGACTATTTGATGTGACTGAGAAGACAGGAGTGAGACGTCACCAGACAGACAGGAATTGTCACACCTGTAAACAGCCACTTAAGGATACTATAGTACACTTTGGGGAGAAGGGAGGGATGAAATGTCCATACAGGTGGAAAGAGGCTGCTAAAGCTGCTGATAGATGTGATATTATCCTGTGTCTAGGATCTAGTCTCAAGGTTGGTTCTTATATTATCCTATGTATAGGATCTAGTGTCAAGGTTGGTTCTGATATAATCCTGTGTCTAGGATCTAGTCTAAAGGTTGGTTCTAATATAATCCTGTGTCTAGGATCTAGTCTCAAGGTTGGTTCTGATATAAACCTGTGTCTGGGATCTAGTCTCAAGGTTGGTTCTGATATTTTCCTGTGTCTAGGATCTAGTCTCAAGGTTGGTTCTGATATAATCTTGTGTCTAGGATCTACTCTCGAGGTTGGTTCTGATATGAACCTGTGTCTAGGATCTAGTCTCAAGGATGTTTCTGATATTATCCTATGTCTAGGATCTAGTCTCAAGGTTGGTTCTGATATTTTCCTGTGTCTAGGTTCTAGTCTCAAGGTTGGTTCTGATATTATCCTATGTCTAGGATCTAGTCTCAAGGTTGGTTATGATATAATTCTGTGTCTAGGATATAGTCTCGATGTTGGTTATGATATAATTCTGTGTCTAGGATCTAGTCTCAAGATTGGTTCTGATATAATCCTGTGTCTAGGATCTAGTCTCATGGTTGGTTCTGATATAATCCTATGTCTAGGATCTAGTCTACAGGTTGGTTCTGGTATCATCCTATGTCTAGGATCTAGTCTCAAGGTTGGTTCTGATATAATCCTGTGTGTAGGATCTAGTGTCAAGGTTGATTCTGATATAATCCTGTGTCTAGGATCTAATCTCCTGGTTGGTTCTGATAAAATCCTGTGTCTAGGATCTAGTCCCAAGGTTGGTTCTTATATAATCCTGTGTCTAGGATCTAGTCTCAAGGTTGATTCTGATATAATCTTGTGTCTAGGATCTAGTCTGATGGTTGTTTCTGATATGATTCTGTTTCTAAGATAATATAAAAGTTAAAAAATTTGAAAGATTGCCAATTAGACAACTCTACATCAGACACCAAATGACAGAGAAGTAAGCAACTATAGGTAGCCGTACAGCCTTTAACAATGAACAAAACCCATGTCCTGTGTCTAGGATCTTGGCTTATAGTTGGTTCTGATAATACTGATAACACTGTCTCAAGAACATTATTGTTATTTGTAGTTTTGATGTTCATATTATCCCCTTTATTGAATTCTTAATAGGCTATATTTTCTGTTATATAGATACTGAAAAAATACTCATGTTTATGGTGTATGGACAGAAAAATGAAGAATAGGCCACAATTGTATATAGTTAACTTACAGTGGACACCGAGAGATGATGCCGCTACTATGAAAATCAATGGTAAATTTAAACATATGATGGTCTTGGGTGCGTGTGAGAAGGAGAGGTCAGATGCCCATGATACAAGATCACATGAAACAACAAGAAGTTCTAAAACTTTCTGTAAAATCAGACCAATAAAAAACAGTATTATATAATTTGGTTTCAATATTAGAAATATTATACTATAGGTTATGAGCTAAGGATATATTCTAACATGACGTTCTTCAAACACTTTGAGTACACACCTGTGGTAAAATATGAATATATTGTTTGGGCTGTTCCGATCGTACTCCCGCATCATATGCTTTTTTATGAATGAGCTACCTGACGTCATAGAACGATGACATAAGAATATAAGCATTTTTACGGGAAAATACACGCTTATGAAACCGAAAATCATCACAACAAGGAAACGTAAACAAACGATGCTAAAATGTGTTATATAAGACATATAAAAACAATTATCATGTAGATTCATCAAAATCTATCTAAATATGTCATTGTAAATAGTTTATGCATGCCATTTATTCAGTTTGCTCCGTTCTTTTACGTCAATTTAATAGTGCGTTTATTTATGGGAACGGCAAATAATGCCTTCACCTAGAGCGCTTCAATCCAAAAGAATTGCTGTATTTGTCCTATTAGAATCGAAATAATTCATGGGGGCTTGAATATATCGTGATTTTACCACGGGTTGTCCCTTTATGCCGATATTTTACCCCTCGCTATCGCTCAGGGTAAAATATTTGTCATAAAGGGCCAACCCGTAGTAAAATCACGATATATTCAAGCCCCCATGAATTATTTCTTAATTTTTATATAGAAGACTCATCAGTAAGTTTTGTCATGAACATGCATGAAATATTTGCCACTGGATATTAAGCAACCAACAATCAATCAATTATCAGTCTGTCAAGGATTCTGTTGTCATACGTTTTAACCAGTATAACACTTATATTTCTCAACTTATTTATTATTTCGACCATTCATCCAGTAAGTTCATCATAACTTTCTTGTCAGTTACAAAAACATTTTAATTGTCTTGCCTTAACAGAGTCAAAAAGTGGTTCATAGGTATTCTGTTTCCAGCGCCGGCGGCAGCATTGTCAACAATGTATTAGTTTTTGATTAGGTCAGTTTATGGGGAACCACTAGTAATAGGTCAATGATATTTGGTATGCAGTTGTATCAGCACTGGCACATCTAATTTCCATAGAGATTTTTTGGCCCTGCCAACTTAGTCATGGTCTATTGACTTTGAAACTTTTGCTTAATTTACATGTATTAGTTTGTGATTAGGTCAGTTTATGGGGAACCACTAGTGGCAGGTCAATGATATTTGGTATGCGTATGTAATAGCATTGGCACATCTCATTTCCATGGAGATTGTTTGGCCCTGTACCTTCAGTCATGGTCTTTTGACTGAATATTTTGCATAACTTACTTGTTAAAGTATTGCTATTTTGATTTCAACATTTGCATTGTACTTTCAAAATAAGTCAAAGGTGAGACATATCTCTGTGTCAACAGTTTATTTTACATTTGAGTTCTTTTGAATTTGAATTAAAGATATTTATTATCAATGCCTGTTTTAAAATCCATTATCATAAAATCCTCCCCATTTTGTATTGCCTTGACGGAGTCCAAAAGCGAGACATAGGTATGCTGTTTCAGGTGTAGGAGGTGGCGGCGTCAACAATATATTAGTTTGTGATTAGGTCTAGTTTATGGTGAACCACTAGTGGTAGGTCAATGATATTTGGGATGCAGTTGTATTAGCATTGGCACATCTCATTACCATGGAGAATATTTGGCCCAGCCCCCTCAGTCATGGTCTATTGACTTTGAAACTTTGCTTAATTTACATGTATTAGTTGGTGATCAGGTCAGCTTATTGGGAACCACTAGTGGTATGCAGTTGTTTAAGCATTGGCATATCTCATTTCCATGCAGATTATTTGGCCCCGTCCCCTCAGTCATGGTCTATTGGCTTTGAAACTTATGCTTAGTTTTCATGTATTAGTTTTTGATTAGGTCAGTTTAGGGGGAACCATAAGTGGTAGGTCAATGATAATTGGTATGCAGTTGTATAAGAATTAGCACATCTCATTTTTATGGAGAATATTTGATCCTAACCCCTCAGTGATTGTCTATTGACTTTGAAACTTTTGCTTAGTTTACATGTATTAGTTTGTGATTAGGTCAGTTTAAGATGAACCACTAATGTTAAGTCAATGATATTTGGTATGCGAATGTATTGGCATTTGCAAGTTTCATTTCCATGGAGATTATATAACCCCACCTCCTCATTATAGTTCATTGACTTTGAAACTTTTACTTAGTTTACAAGTTAATGTTTGTGTTTAGGTTTGTTTAAAGGGAACAACTTATGAAAAGTCAATGGTATTTGGTATGCAGTTGTATTAGCATTGGCACATCTCATTTCCATGGAAATTGTTTAGCCCTGTACCTTCAGTTATGGTTCATTGACTTTGAATACTTGCATAACTTACATGTTAAAGTATTGCTATTTTAATTTTAACATTTGCATTTTCAAAATAACAAGTAGGCGAGACAATCTCTGTGTTTACAGTTTATTAGATAGGGAATTGTAAATAAATTGCTTTCATAAAAATATGTGCTATACTTGTCACCTGGATAGCATCTTTATTTTTTTTCAGAATATCATAACGTTTTCATGTAATGAATAATATTAAGATCTTGAATGTATAGAATCGTCAGACAGGGAATGTCTCTTTCTAGAGGGAATTTGAAGAATGAATACTTTGTTAATGTTTGTACAATGGTCTTCTGACATGGATGCCACTTACTTTCTATTCCAGTTAACTTTAAAATTCAGTAGAAAAATTTAGTATTTGATATTCAAACCTTGCATAGGTTTGATTGTCAGGAAATTTTACAGTTGCAAACTGCCTTTTACTTTGTTTCACTTTGGAAAGTTTTTTTGTTATTTGGAACAATTCAAAAAACAAATTATAGAAAATTTGATAGTACTTTTCATGCTAAACCATAATTTTGAAATAGATTTGTACATACTGTACTGTATATAATCTTTTCACCTATTTTGTCCATGTTTTTATTACAGGTCGATGCGATGATGTAATGAGACGAGTGATGAGACATCTTGGTTACTCTATACCTGAGTATTTTGAGTATGTATTGTATATCAATTATCATACCCCCAAAAAGTCTTATATAAATACAATGTAGCTTTGATTTCTTGTCCCGGTTTGTCTATACTTTTGGTCCTTTTTTGTTGTATCAGCTCTACAATGTTTGTATAAGGTGTTAGGTTTTCAAATATGTTTGCCTGGAGCATCACTGAAGAGACATTAATAGTTATTATGCATATCTGGTGCAGTACAAATTGGTACCGTTAATCAGTAAATGTTAGCAGATCATATAAAATTTCTATGGTTATTCATTTTGTTAAACCTTTATTTAGAGCAATGTACAAATTAGACTTTAATGATCGAATGATTCATTCACTCACAATATACTGAAAGTACTTCTATTTGTGGGATACCAAAAGTGTCCAATGAACTATAACAACTGTTGTCCAAATCAAGATATGGAAAGATCCCTATGTAGGTTTGACTACATGAATATGGGCATATAATCTAGAGAATACATTGAATATCAGCCAGTGCACGAAAATTGATTCCCATGTATAAAAGTAATTTCACAGTAATATAATCAATAAAGGCCATTATTTGTTGTCAACCAGTAAATGTTAAGTTTTTGTAGTCCCATTGTACTTTCCATTGAAAATGTAATTATACACAGGTGAAACAAAACATATATAATTAATTTACTTACCAGAAAAAAAGTGATGAAATCTGTGTAATTTATGACTGAATATTTATGAAATCCAGCCAAACACAATAGATAAAAGGATCTGGAGAATATGTCAATAAAACAGCAACCAAACAATACTAAAAGCAAAAGGACATCTCATGTATTCTATTTTATTAAAGTGAAATATTTTCAATTTACACTTGTTTGTACTGATGTTTGTCAGTATCAGTCTTGTTCAGCCATTTTATCTATCATTGTTAAAGCTTCGTGTTGATCAAATTTACACTTTGATATTGAGGTGTATATCTATCAGTTATTGCATATGTTCATGATATGATCTTTAATCTAGATTTCTTTGAAAGCTACAATATGTATTTCAGCAAAAACTGTAATAGATATGTTGGGAAATATCTTCACAATCAACGATAATTGATAACCAAAAATCCCAAGTGATTTAAATACATTGTACTAAATTAACCCCTTTTAGTCGTTATTGTCCTTAAATAACAAATTTTAGCATTTTTGCCTATTATCTTGAAAACTTTAATAGATAGACAGAGACTGTAAAGAGCAAAAATAGATCTAAAGAAATCTAAAAATGATTGAAACCATTTATTGACTCCTTTACAGTGATGTAGGAGTTGACTAGTAAGTGTGGGGCATACTTCTGAAGAATAAAAAGCTTCATAGTCTTACTTAGTCAGTGTCCTCTATAATTTTCAATTTTTGTGTACAAAAAAAATTTGCCAAAAAATGGTGGGGGGGGGGGGGGGGGCAATTTTGCCCCCTTGCCCCCGGCTCCTACACTATTGCTGTAGAAATTTTTGGCTTTTATTTTGAAATCTATTATATATAGACAGAAACTTTGCGCAGCAACAATTCTCAGCTATTTAAGATCTCTATAAATTTATAGAAAATTGTTGATTTTTTTCTGCTTTTTATGTTAATCAAAATGACATATTTAACAAATGAGGTGATGAGTCTCCTTGGAGCATTAAGGTTGAAGATTAACATCAAATATACATAGTTGCTCATAGTGAAATTCATTCTTATAAATCTTAAATTTCTTGTAGGGAAGAAGATCCATTATTTTCTTTAGCAACATCACTTCACGAAGAAGAAAACGACACTACTAGTAAAAAGATTCTGCTAAAACCAGACATAGAAGAAATAACTAGACATAGAAATTCACAGAATGAAATTCGTAGAAATTCAACAGAATCTGAAAGGAATAAAACTTTAGCAAGATTAAGTAACACAGATTTGACTGGTTTAAAAACACTTCCTTCAAGTTCTGTTGCAGGAAGTTCAACAAATTATTCCATGGGAATAAATACTCAGGAAAAAATAAATACAGAATTAACTGTTGTAAAATCAGAGAAGATTAATGATCAAAATCATTTTATTCATAACCCTTTAGAACATCCATTAATTCATCATAACCATGCACTTAAATCAGCGTTGGAAAAAAATCATACTGAGAATTTCTACCGCTATAACGGAATATGGGCAAAATCACCATTAATTCCTTACAATCCATATTCTTTACCTCCATATCTACCTGGTGTGCCAAACGGTAGACAACAAATAAAGTTTGGTGAAGTTGCATTTCAGAAGTATGTTGATCAAGGTGATAATCAAAGGAAAGAGGTTAAAGTTGAACCAAATCTAGATTTATCTACATTTGGTGGAAAGAAACCTAAGCTGGAAAATAACCGTGCCAAAAATAATGAAGTAAACAAAAATTGTACTAATTCTCATGGCAAAATGAGATTACCGGAAGACATGCAAAAGTTAGAATCTAGAAGCAAAATGGCAATGGTCCCAAGTAAAGAAAAGTGTGCTGTGAGTCCCAGAAAATCAAAAACAAATTCAATCCGTAATAGTGGAAAATGTAGTCCAGATAGAATAGGTGATACAAAAATAGGACACACAGATCCTATATCTAATTCTACATCTGTTACACAGAGTAGCAGAGGAAGGAGGGCTAGGAAATCATTCTGTCCAAACTGTCACGGTGTTAGTGGTGACTGTCCGTGTACCGTACTAGAATCTGTAAAGAAAAGGAAACCACCATCTTGTGGTAAATGTGAAAAACATCCATGTACTTGTCCAAAAACAACAACTCTATCTATTTGTTTAATATGTAGAAATTCTCTAAATAAATGTGAATGTAAAACAAACATTTTGGAACATCCCTCCAAATGTACGGCATGCGGATTGTCAAAAACAGTGTGTAAATGTCAATGTAAAACAAACATTTTGGAACATCCCTCCAAATGTAGTGCATGTGGATTGTCAAAAACAACATGTAAGTGTCAGTCTTCCTTCAGTAAGCTTATACTGTGCCAGTTTTGTAGACACACTCCTGACAAATGTAAATGTGCTTTGAATGGCCAGACATTTCTGTTACTGTGCCCTGTTTGCCATCAGCATAAACATCTGTGCAAATGTGTGCTAAATCATACCTCTTCCTTTACTCAGGGTGCAAATGTGCCAAATTTTACAAACATGTCTAACTTACCAATGGCACCTTTAATGCCATTTTTTGACTATGCAAAATTTGCATTTCCAATGAACAATATTTCATCGCTTTACATGCCACAAGTCTTTCAGAATAATCTTATGAATGGTCTGCTGCCAAGCAATTATTTAAATGCTTTGTTACCAAGTAGCAATGTTAATCCTATGTTACCTAGCAATAGATTAACTGGTTTACAGCAGGATAAAGTTCTCAACGGAGCATATAGTGCTAGAAATGTCAATAGTTTGGTACCAGTTAATTATGTGACAAATGCATTGAAGGTAGAACCAATATTACAAGATCATTCATACTTAAATAAAGAACAGATGCAATCATTATCTCCTAACTGTGATAAACATTACCAAAGATCTCAAACTGAGAAACAGACAGTCGAAAGTGTAGCTACAAAAACGGGTTTAAAGACTGTAGAAAGAATACCTACAAGAACAGGTCTGATGACCGAAAGTATATCTACAAGAACAAGTCTGAAGAGATGTTATAGTTATGTAGATGATATTCAAAAAGCAGAAGAGGACATTGTTTCAGAAACTTCTCCAAGAAAATGTAATGTTAATCATTCCAAGATCCAGAAAAAAGAGCCTGTAGCAATCAAAAGTACAGAATCATCCAATCCTATCGTTATAGATATTGAAGAAGAAACTGAGCAGTGTGAGAGTGAAAAAGTATGTCAAGGTGATAACGAGAAAGAGGATCAAGAAAAACCTAAACTAATGAGGAGCATGTCCGTTCCAGGATGGTTTGGAAAAGGTCTCAATCTTCGAAAGAAGCGTAGATAGTAATGAATGATATTTAATGTATTTTTATATACAAAATGTTTATATTCAAGTCATTCAGGGATTTTTGTAATAATTTATATGAATATGTTTTTTTGTTTAATTGTATGGAAGTTTGGTTTGAATTGTATGGTTAATTTTCTTGTTAAAAAGAAGAAAATACTATAAGCCAATTAATTTTCATGTGTAGAAAAATTGTGCGTATATAAATTGTCTTGGTACATCACCTAAATTTGAAAATAACGAAAAATAGATAACTAATAATCCAGCTAAAAAAGGCTAAATGCCAAAAAGTATCCATGAAAATTAGTTGGTTTTATATTAATAAGTTTATGGTTTTGATAAAACTGACATACTGCAGCGCAGAATTAATTGTATTGAATTATTAACTATGTAAATAACCAACAGTACAGCCTACTGGGTAGGTTATGGTAACATACTATGTAGAATTTACCTGTTACTAACAGAATAATGTAGCATGCATGTTAGATGTTAATGATCCTATTTTCTGGTGTCGATTTTTGCCTTCTCTTACAGTTGTTGCTGTGTTCAAGACATAGATGCCACTTTATCGAATGTTTTTGTATTTTTTGGCTGATAAATGACAGTAATTTTGGTGTCAACTTTCACTATGTGTAAAAGGTTATCAGATTAGGTACAATTTAGATTTATTACCTTTGAAAGACTATTGGTACATGTTATAAAAGTAAATTAGTTTCATTTCAGTTGGAAGCATCAGATCAGGCCCATATTCATAGTCATGCTTCATTGACTTTAGAATTTCATTGTTCAAAAGTTTTTTTATCAATTCATAATTTATGGTAGATTACTGATTAGAATACTGTTGCAGATGTTCCTTGCATCTCATCTGCAAGAAGTATATGCTCATTTTTTAGACATTTACTAGTTTAATGTTTAATAATTCAAAAGCAAAAGATGAAAAAGGGAAGAATGCTGTGTAAGATTAGGGAATAAAAAATGAAAATCAATATAAATAAAAAATGTGGGTATTTTACAGTGAGACAGCAACGTGACATAACAAATGTCTATTAATACTTTCTAGTTAAGGTAAAATTTCTACAAACAATTCTTATTCTCATTGCAGATGGACTGTTAATGTTATAGTCCTGACTTGGTATGGGGACTGCAAAATGAAAGTGCCGAGCTGGATCAGGTTTTGACTTGGTATGGGGACTGCAAAATGAAAGTGCTGAGCTGGATCAGGTTTTACAGTGTGCCCAATCCTCCCAATTTTATATGACAGTCATTTCAATTTCTATTATGTATTTGTCCACATTTGGGCATGGCTGTTTATTTGTACAGTTGAATTGATATGATTTATACATCTTGCACATCGAAACAGAAACATTAAGCAAGAGCAGCCGAGGTTCCAGTTCTGAGTAGGGTACCCCTCTTAGGTCACCAGGTCACATTTAAAAAATGTCTTGGGTCACCATGTCTCTTTCTAAGCTAACAAAACATTTATTATAAATAAAATGGTTTTGAACATTTTTAAAGGTCACAAGTCCTTTTAAATGAGACCTCATGTCGCAAGGTCTCAAGGTTGCAGGTTTGATTTGACCATTTTGGAGCCTCAGTAGCTGCAAAGAATTTGTGTGTCCAGAGAGCATGCAGGCATACTCCCACAAGTATTGTCCCCAGTCAGTTCAGATACGGCTTCTGTATTATACATTTTTATGCATAAGATATTGTAAGATACATGTGCAAATAGGTACATGTAGTACTGAGATTTATGTGTATGCAGAAAGATCACATTATAGAGGCAAATTTATTTTTAAAATATATATTCTTTTTTTAATTATAGTGACCCTGGAAATGTATGAGTGCTTGTATAGCTGATAGATAAATGATTGATCAGTACTTATGTATTATGGCGGAGTGTCATTGCAAAAAATATACCTCATTACTTACTGAATGATCCATGACATAAGAAGTACTTAAGCCACAACCACTCTTGCACATCTGCATTTTATATGACACATACTGTGAATTCAGAATTTAATTCGTTCATTTATTATCGCAAATCCTTCACCTCTGGACAAGATGAGATATCTAATTAATGCGATTGCAAAAAATTTATGAAGGACATCACTACTGAAATTATGAATGCTAGCTTTTATTATTGTGAACATGATACTGTCACATTTTTTGCATCAATAAAATATTGCACTAATTTCTGCTTTAGCAGTACAGGTAGTTTCTCAACAAATTTATGTTTTAAATATGTATTTATGCTGGATCGTATGGCTTTAACATATCTCAATTAGTATGGTGTTTACATATTGAATGAAGTATGCATGTTCACACTATACTGACTTCTTTAATAGAGGTATGTTCCTTTGAACAAAACCTGCTCCAACAGAGTTGTAAGGAAGAACAACTGAAATCAACACCACATAAGTTTAAAGGTCATCATCACAAATTGGTTGATTGATATAATGTGTCTGTGTTTTCACAGTCTTAGATCTCGGGTGCAGATCCAGGATTTTAAAAAAGGAAGCCCCTAGTAAGCCAATGTTTGGAGTGATACTTGTAAAAAGTCTATGCATTTAACATATATGTAGCTCCATAAGGGGACCTGGCCCTGCCTCTGGATCTTAAGATACCTGTATAGTTTTCTGATCTATAATTTTCCTGATTGTGACATTATGACTTAGTGTGGATTCTCATGGCAGTGATGCATACATAGAAGAAGATTACCCGCTTTCCCTTTATTCTGAGTTTATACAACTCACTCAAATTTGTTTGTTACCTTGATTTTTATATTCTTAATCAATTAATGGTATTGGATCATTGGTAGACTGATCTTAACATTTAGATTCTGATGCCAAAAAGGTGGCATATATCAGTGTTAGCTGTAAACTATTTTTTATCATTTTTTAGGGACCAATAATATGTGGGAAGGTAAAAAAGTGCTTTAAATGGACACTCTCTATTTGAGTGAATGGTTGACCTAGATCTAAACTGGTGAGGTATTTAATAGTTTTGGATTGTAGGACTTGCATCCCCAATCATTTCAATGATGTTTGTGATCTACTTGAAGATTTGATCTGTGACAATTCTAGATAAAAACTTGCTGGCCAGAGTCTAGGGCAGCAATTTCTATGTTTATGCCCCCGCCGTAGCGGAGGGGGCATTAAGTTATACCCTTGTCCGTCTGTACAGTATGTACGTCCGTCCGTACGTAGGTCCCAAAGTTGGTTTCCGTTCTCTAACTTTAGTTTGCCTCAATCAAATGTTATGAAACTTGTACACAATACTTAATACCACAAAACGCAGATCAAGTTTGAATTTTGGTGGCGTTACTTAAACCGTTCTAGAGTTATGCTCCTTTACAAATGGAAAAATTGCTGAATTTTTCGTTTCCGTTCTCTAACTTTAGTTTGCCTCAACCAAATGCTATGAAACTTATACACAATGCTTATAACCACGAAACACAGATCAAGTTTGAATTTTGGTGGCGTTACTTAAACCGTTCTAGAGTAATTCCCCTTTACAAATGGAAAAATTGCTGAATTTTTTGTTTCCGTTCTCTAACTTTAGTTTGCCTCAACCAAATGCTATGAAACTTATACACAATGCTTATAACCACAAAATACAGATCAAGTTTGAATTTTGGTGGTGTCACTTTTATTGTTCTAGAGTTATGTCCCTAAACAAATGGAAAAAAATTGCTGAATTTTTTGTTTCCGTTCTCTAACTTAAGTTTGCCTCAACCAAATTTTATGAAACTTATACACAATACTTATTACCACAAAATTCAGATCAAGTACAAATTTGGGTAGTGTCACTTTTACTGTTCCTCAGTTATGTCCCTTTATAACTTTATATGATATGCAAGCGGGGGCATCAACTGTGTCCCATGGACACATTCCCTATTTTTTTTCTATATGGAGTGGACTCTGACGTCCCACTACCCTGCAACAAGTCCTAGATAAGGCTGTCAGAGCTGGATGAAAATTACTAAATTGATACAAAAAATTTAAGAAATTATTGTTAATAATATTGGTAGTAAATAGATGGTAAGCAATGAAACTTTTTCTATCTTAGTTTTAAACCATTACTTGAAAAAATTGAATACTTTTCTTGTCAGCAATCTGTATATTTTTCAGTGCATTGTATTTTTAGCTCACCTGACCTGAAAGGTCAAGTGAGCTTTTCTCATCACTTTGCGTCCGTCGTCCGTAAACTTTTACAAAAATCTTCTCCTCTGAAACTACTGGGCCAAATTTAACCAAACTTGGCCACAATCATCATTGGGGTATCTAGTTTTAAAAATGTGTGGCGTGACCCGGTCAACCAACCAAGATGGCCGCCACGGCTAAAAATAGAACATAGGGGTAAAATGCAGTTTTTAGCTTATAACTCAAAAACCAAAGCATTAAGAGCAAATCTGACCTGGGGTAAAATTGTTCATCAGGTCAAGATCTATCTGCCCTGAAATTTTCAGATGAATCGGACAACCCGTTATTGGGTTGCTGCCCCTGAATTGGTAATTTTAAGGAAATTTTGCTGTTTTTGGTTATTATCTTGAATATTATTATAGATAGAGATAAACTGTAAACAGCAATAATGTTCAGCAAAGTAAGATTTACAAATAAGTCAATATAACCGAAATGGTCAGTTGACCCCTTTAGGAGTAATTGCCCTTTATAGTCAATTTTTAACCATTTTTCGTAAATCTTAGTAATCTTTTACAAAAATCTTCTCCTCTGAAACAACTGGGCCAAATTAAACCAAACTTGGCCACAATCATCATTGGGGTATCTAGTTTAAAAAATGTGTGGCGTGACCCGGCCAACCAACCAAGATGGCGGCCACAGCTAAAAATAAAACATAGGGGTAAAATGCAGTTTTTGGCTTATAACTCAAAAACCAAAGCATTTAGAGCAAATCTGACATGAAGTAAAATTGTTTATCAGGTCAAGGTCTATCTGCCCTGAAATTTTCAGATGAATCGAACAACCTGTTGTTGGGTTGCTGCCCCTGAATTGGTAATTTTAAGGAAATTTTGCTGTTTTTGGTTATTATCTTGAATATTATTATAGATAGAGATAAACTGTAAACAGCAATAATGTTCAGCAAAGTAAGATCAACAAATAAGTCAACATGACTGAAATGGTCAGTTGACCCCTTTAGGAGTTATTGCCCTTTATACCGGTAGTCAATTTTTAACAATTTTTCGTAAATCTTAGTAATCTTTTACAAAAATCTTCTCCTCTGAAACTCCGTGGCCAAATTAAACCAAACTTGGCCACAATCATCATTTGGTTATCTAGTTTTAAAAATGTGTGGCGTGACCTGGTCAACCAACCAAGATGGCCGCCACGGCTAAAAATAGAACATAGGGGTAAAATTCAGTTTTTGGCTTTTAACTCAAAAACCAAAGCATTTAAAGCAAATCTGACATGAAGTAAAATTGTTTATCAGGTCAAGATCTATCTGCCCTGAAATTTTCAGATGAATCGGACAACCCGTTATTGGGTTGCTGCCCCTGAATTGGTAATTTTAAGGAAATTTTGCTGTTTTTGGTTATTATCTTGAATATTATTATAGATAGAGATAAACTGTAAACAGCAATAATGTTCAGCAAAGTAAGATTTACAAATAAGTCAATATAACCGAAATGGTCAGTTGACCCCTTTAGGAGTAATTGCCCTTTATAGTCAATTTTTAACCATTTTTCGTAAATCTTAGTAATCTTTTACAAAAATCTTCTCCTCTGAAACAACTGGGCCAAATTAAACCAAACTTGGCCACAATCATCATTTGGTTATCTAGTTTTGAAAATGTGTGGCGTGACCTGGTCAACCAACCAAGATGGCCGCCACGCCTAAAAATAGAACATAGGGGTAAAATTCAGTTTTTGGCTTTTAACTCAAAAACCAAAGCATTTAAAGCAAATCTGACATGAAGTAAAATTGTTTATCAGGTCAAGATCTATCTGCCCTGAAATTTTCAGATGAATCGGACAACCCGTTGTTGGGTTGCTGCCCCTGAATTGGTAATTTTAAGGTGATTTTGCTGTTTTTGGTTATTATCTTGAATATTATTATAGATAGAGATAAACTGTAAAAAACAATAAATGTCGGCAAAGTAAGATCTACAAATAAGTCAACATGACCGAAATTGTCAGTTGACCCCTTTAGGAGTTATTGCCCTTTATAGTCAATTTTTAACCATTTTTTCGTAAATCTTAGTAATCTTTTACAAAAATCTTCTCCTCTGAAACTACTGGGCCAAGTTAATTATAGATAGAGATAATTGTAAGCAGGAAAAATGTTCAGTAAATTAAGATGTACAAACACATCACCATCACCAAAACACAATTTTGTCATGAATCCATCTGCGTCCTTTGTTTAATATTCACATAGACCAAGGTGAGCGACACAGGCTCTTTAGAGCCTCTAGTTTTTTTTTGTATTATATATCGCCAGGTATTTTTAAAATTCTTTGTATACATGTATGATCATACATGTTATTTACCTTTAACAGTCAGTGAATTATTATCTTGTTTCTATATTTTCATAATAACATTTTTTTCAGGTGTAGCAGACGTTTGTAATTATTTGATGATATGGTTGAAAGTGTATATTGATTAGTTTGTGTAGGATATTTTGTAAGTGCAGTTGCAATATTTGTACAAGAGTATACATTATTTATTTATGTAAAATATGATGCAGTATGTATTTATAAGGTATAGTATGTTGTATTGAGTGGTTGCAAACTTTTTTTGGAAAATTTGTGAAATAAAACATTAAAAATCTAATGAAGTTATACTTTGTGAAACTTCTTTTGTGGTTTTATGCTTTGAGAGAGGTTGTTGGTTTTATCCCATATATTAAGGAATAAGAGCAGAAACTGCTTGGCCCTGAGTTAGGACATGTCTAGGTAAGATTTGAGACTGAACAAAGGGCCACAGATTTGAGAGTCATGACTTCACTTGACACAGATAGTACACACATCTGAGGAAAGGACACAGATTTGAGTGTCATGACATCACTTGACACAGATAGAACAAACATCTGAGGAAAGGTGACATATTTGCATACCTGCCAACCTTTTGAAAACTCCATGGGGGGTTTAGTGTGGGACAACAATTTCAAAGGTTACAATATTGCGGCGTTTTTTACTGTGCGCTCTTTTGTTCTCTAGAAAAAGTGTCATATTTCTTTATATGGTTTACTGATGATGAGCTAATAAGTCCTTTTCTTATTTTTTATTCACATGATTCTAGTACTTATATTATTGTGTAGAAAAGATGAACATGTAGCTAGAATACTAAGAAATATTTTCTGTTGTAGGAATATTTAAAGTGACTGTTGACTTTTACAATTTGAAAAAAATGGACAAAGGACATTTATCTGATTCCATGGCAACACTGTATGGTCTGTTACAATAAGTGTAATGTCCATAAGCTACTAGTTATGATACAACCGCAAAAAAATTTTGCGGTCATATATTGTTATGACGTTGTGGTTCGGCGTCGTCCGAAGACACATTGGTTTTCGCACTCTAACTTTAGGTTAAGTGAATGGATCTCTATGAAATTTTACCATAAGGTTCAATACCACAAAAGGAAGGTTGGGATTGATTTTTGGGGTTATGGTACCAACAGTTGAGGAATTAGGGGCCAAAAATAAGCATTTTTGTAACTTCCAGACATAACTTGTGTGTTAGTGTATGGATCTCTCTGACATTGTACCACAAGGTTCCATATCACAAAGGGAATGCTGGGATTGATTTTGTGGGTAATTGCCTCGAAATTTTAGGAATAAGGGGCAAAAAAAGGGGCAAAAAACAAGCATTTTTCTAGTTTCATGACAATATCTTGTGTGTAAGTGTATGGATCTTTCTGAAATTGTACTACAAGGTTCCATATCACAAAGGGAAAGCTGGAATTGAGTTTGGGGGTAATTGCCCGAAACGTTTAGGAATAAGGGGCCAAAAATAAGCATTTTTCTAGTTTCCAGAGAATAACTTGTGTTCAAGTGTATGGATCTCTCTGAAATTGTACTGCAAGGTACCATACCACAAATGGAAGGCTGGGATTGATTTTGGGGTAATTGCCTCAAAATTTTAGGAATTGGGGGCCAAAAAGGGGCAAAAAACAAGCATTTTTCTAGTTTCCGGACAATAACTTGTGTGTAAGTGTATGGATCTTTATGAAATTGTACTACAAGGTTCCATATCACAAAGGGAAAGCTGGGTTTGAGTTTGGGGGTAATTGCCCTAAACGTTTAGGAATTTGGTGCCAAAAAGGGGCCAAAAAACAAGCATTTTTCTAGTTTCCAGACAATAACTTGTGTTCAAGTGTATGGATCTCTCTGAAATTGTACTGCAAGGTACCATACCACAAAGGGAAGGCTGGATTGAGTTTGGGGGTGATGAATCATAAGGGGGTTCCAAATAATTTGGGGGGGGGGGGGATTTTTTTCCCCCATTTTTTTCTTTAAAATTTTCCATTTTAAATTAGTTATTTCTGATTTATATATAAAAGCAAATAATAATGATATGGTTTGAATAGGTAAATCAAAAAATTTTAAGTTCTTAGACCACATTCATTCTGTGTCAGAAACCTATATGCTGTGTCAAATATTTAATCACAATCCAAATTCAGTGCTGTGTCAAGCTTGAATGTTGTGTCCAAACTTGCCCCAACTGTTCAGGGTTCGACCTCTGCGGTCGTATCAAGCTGCTCCCAGCGGAGCATTTTATTATGTATATGATAGCACTGCATCTTTAAATTTTGTCAATCAGCCATGCTTTTCTTGAGGGTATGAATGCCTTTTACCGTCAGGCATCAAACGGTCTTTTTCGGCTACCGTTAGCGTCAAATTGGTTAAAATTTTACCGTGATTCGTCAAAATGTCATTAATTGTGATTCGTCAGAGGTCTCAAATAATTATCGTTACCGTTATTTTTGGAAAAAATTTAACGTGATTCGTCAAAATCAGTCGATTTTTTTATCGTCTAAAAGAAAGTGTACATTTTATCGTCATGCACCAAAAATTACCGTTAACGTCATTTGGCAAGAATGTTTACCGTTATTCGTCATGAAGGTACCCCCATTACGACCCTCTTTCTTCTGACAGGTAAACAACACATTGAACAAGTGTCTACTTTAAATGGTAAGCTTTTAACTGTCTCAAATCTTTACAAAATGTTGAATCTGAAGACATGATAAAACTGACAAACACTGACTTGTCAATACCTGCCTAAACATGTGGTGTTCAATTATTTCATGTTCACATGATTTTGTATAATAGCAATTAGAATTATGTAATTATTAATTAAACCCAAATTAAAACATTAACGGAACACAAGCCAATCTGTAAAGACGGTCCTCGCAAATATATTATTTATCTTTTATTTACAGGTGCAACAATAAAGATAATTATATTAATTTAATAACTAATTTAATTACCAGGATTACTAAATGTTTTATGTAATGATTAAGATTATTTAATTACTAGTATCACTACATAAAATTTTCGGCAACAAATGAAATTAGAAGTCGGGTTAAAGCGAGTAATTAAACACAATGACAGAGACATATACACACATGAAAAACTATATACTATGTACTATACATGTCTCTGACAATGGTAATGAAATATGGAAAGTAAGGAACCAGTTACCTTGTTAGTAGTTGTATGTGATATGGAAGTATTATATTGCCGTACGGTTGCCCACAATTGCTTACATCCACTTCATTTGAACTTTGGTGGATAGTTGTCTCATTATCTCCTTATTTTTATATATTACTTCCATGGTCATATGTATTTCGTTATTTGGAGAATCGGGTGTTAATGACAAATCTTTCATTGTTTCTCTTAAATTTAATCACAACTTTATAGACTCGTGATGATAAAGAGATATACATATATATTGCATACACACCTGTCTAATGTTGAACCCTGAATGTTGGTCTCAAAATGTCTTTTGGTTTATTTTTGTCATTTGGTGGCTGTCCGTTGACGTATTCACCCAAATCTCTTTTAAATCATATGTTAAAACGTAGCTTGCTATGCTGTATGGGTATTTCTCATTGCTGAAGGCCGTACGGTGACATAGTTTCAAGTAACTTTTACGTCATTTGGTCTCTGGTGGAGAGTTGTCTCATTGGAAATCATACTACAACTTATTTTTATATCAATATAACATTATATTCATAAATTATATGTTATTTTGGGTCCCAGTTTCCAAAACCGACGTCTTCGACATGGACAACAGTGACACAAGACAACAGAAGTGCACATTATGCGTGTCGCTACAAATTCTCATTTACATGTTAGGTCCAACATAAATAAAAGATAATCGTGATGTTAAAAATAACTTTGTTATAACCTGGATGACTTCCTAGCGAATTGATGTTATAAAATGTTAAAGTCACTCAGTCATGAAATAAAGACTTCGGGAACTGATATGTTGCCACGGAATGGAGTACGAGGGTAATATACACTTACTATACCGATTTCAGAGCGCAAGACTTGTAAGAGATAACCTGTGACGTTTTTTATTTAAATCTTGTGAAATATAGAGATACCATTACATGAAAAACTTTACGACAGACAAGGGTACGCAGGTCGACAATCCACTACTTCATTTGTGGTAATAACCCTCTCAAGATCGTATATTTGATTTATGCAAACTGTCCTGTTTATTTCTAAATGTAATACTTAACTCACATTACCGATATTTGTATTTACATTTGTAAATATGAAAAAAAATATTATTAATTCAACAATAAAAATATTAATAAGCTTTCAAATGGCCCGCTGAGACATTGTCGGTTTTTTTCAATTGTCTATTCTTTATAACCATTATATGTAGTTGAATGAGAATTTCGATTATAAATTAACATGTATTTTTTGTTTATCCAATTCTCCATTAACAAAGTGCTAAAAGAACAATAATTGATATACATCGGTTATATTTATTGAAAAACTTCAATTGATTTACCTGTGTTGGGTTTAAATACCTATATACTATTTCACGGTTTCACGGTACTCTGATTATACCTACCTATTCAACAGTAGACTTGAAACTTTAAGTTAATTCGTAGTATTCTGAGATAAGTTCAGACCAGGATGTTATGAAGTTGATCATGACGGAACATTACATTTTAAAATTGTGTTTTTTATGTCTCGGATTATTACAGTATGGATCATCTGAAAGTAAGTAAACTATTTAATGTACTAAATAATTCATTTTGGGGTAAACTCGAGGAAGTATATTCTGTAACTCCTGTCTTGAGTTGTTCTATACAGAGACATATATATACAAATATCTGTCTCTGTTATGTACAATTAAAAGATATAAGATATTAGATATGTGGGTTTGTTCCTTTATACGATATTTTGGTTGCCACATACCAATCAGATGCAATATTGTAGTGTGGAGATGTAAGTGTTTATAAGAATAAAAATAGATCACCAAGCATCATATCAAAATACACTATTTTGAGAACATATTTCCTGTTGTGTCACAGTGATATTTTGATCGCATGTACATAGGCAACTTGTCAGTAAGATTTATATTCACAAAGCTTCTAGTGAATGGATTTATTCAATTATTTTAGCTGTGTTCTACGATATTTCGGTATTCTAGGAACCAAATATCTTATAGTTCAACATTTATTTGTTTGTTGTGGTATTCAAAGCACGGCTTTAAATAGATTGTCTAAAAAGCATTATAAATAATACGCAATCATGATTCATAAAGTATTTCTAAAGAAGAAAAAAATGGATTTATCATGAACAAGGAACACACAAATATACCTGATCCACTTTGTTAATATTTATTTTAGTGTTAATCTGGGGAAAAAAAACATGTTGGGACAGACATACCAAATAAAACAACATGACATAAAAATCTGAAACTAAACTATGCACTCGAGGTTCAGATAAATCATATAATAAGCCTATTGTTTCATAATAAAGCTTTATCAACATTTAAACCAAATCTAATAAACAAAAGATGAACCACCGAGAAAAGGGAAGAACGCATTTCCCGTACATAATCCACATGTTAGCCTTGTGTATAACTCTAGGTTATTCGACGGAAAACGTCTATCTAAAAGTTTTTGAATATTTATGAATAATTTGTGAAGATTTTTTCTTTAGATTATTTCAGACTTTTTAATATCGAAATTCTGTGTTATGTAAGGTATCTCACTTCTGTTGTACTAAATAATTCAGTATACTAAATGACTGACAATTGCTAATAATCTATTTAATTGTTTTGATTACACGATTTGGGTAAAACAAAACAAAACATAGGTCCCACGAATTTATTTCACATGGCTGCCTTTTACAATAAGTCTTTCGATCCTTGCTGAAATAATAACACTTCATATGACCAAATAATATATGCGTATAAAAGTAGCTCAAAACTACAATTTTGATACAGATATAGCCCGGTAAAATGGCGTTCCGGCTAAATGGAAATCAAGAAGGAATATTTCGCTCCTTAAACTTTTATTTTAGCAGTCCGGCAAGACCGAACAACAAACTCCAAACCAAATGTAAAGTAACATACAAACAATAACATTAAACCATTGTGGTGACGTCAGCCTATTCATTTACCGTGGATTCTTTTTCTAGAATCAACGCTTCCTAAATCTGCCGCTGAAATTGACTCACCAAATTATATTCAATTGTTTCCTTTGTGTGCCTAATTTCATTAAGTTTGAATTGGCTAATTTACTGATTTCTGTTCACTAATGGAATTAATTTAAAAACTTACCTTTAATTTTTGTAATTTTTATATGCCTTCACTGGGAATCGAACCCTTCCTTGAAATCTGTTATGTGTGACTGACATCAAAAATATAACACTTCTACCTTTAAAGATGTTCATATTACCAGGCATATGAATATTATCTGTTTATAAAAAATAAGACATATTCGAAATTATTTCTAATAAAATTGAGTAACCTTATTCAATCTTTATTATCTTCCCCAAAATTGACTGTGTTTTAGATATAATTGTAGAAACCTTAAACTCCCAAAAGAAAAAAATATCCGAATTTTCAAACATGATCAAGATTTGATCAGAATTAATATTTCTTTTACCTTAATAAAGTGTTATTTATAACGACACGGGTCATCATCATCGTCATCAAAACCTACGTCGTCATCACAAAAAATAATGTTTCACTCTTTTTATTTCTTTCTTTATCTCTTCTTCACTTATAATTTGTATCATATCCTATAAATTGTTCTCTTAACATACATACATTTTCATGTTATATATATAATTGTTATAATGTTATATTGTATTACGGAAAAGACCTCTTAAATACGCGTTTTTTTTTTGTGTCTAATTCATTTTGATTAGTATGTTATTGGAATGAAAATAGTCTAAAAGTTAAATCACAAGATACAAACATATTTCCTTCATGTCCTTGACAGTGAAAAATTAAAGTACAGGTATTTAAACACTCACAAGAGTATCCATGGCACCTTTCTGACAACAACAAAAACCCGAAACAAATTAAAAAAAACAACAAAAACAACCATAATTCGATTTAGCAAATGAAAGGTCTTATTACGTACAGTAAAAGCAAGAAAAACAACTAAGATCAACTTAAATACGTGTCTATTTAATCCATCGACTTGTCCTCGTAAATGGTGCTTGATATACATGCTTTTCTCTAAACTTTAATCAATTTTTAGTAATAAGTGATACTTTTATGATTTTAAAAACACGAGTACCCGAAAACCAGGATGGTTAATCACGTCATATCTAGGGCTAGTTTAGTTCGCAGGTCATGTATCAATAATTTATTGATAATTCAGCCTTGACAAAATTTAAAACATACAGTTACAGTCGAATAAACCGCTATTCAATTTCATGTTTCACTCATATTTTATAATATTAGGTATTACCATCAACAATTTAAGTTGTTGGCTTCAATGATTATATAAACAAACTTTGTATATGTTTGTTATTGTGTGGGGAAACCCAAGTTCAACTCGGTAGGAGTCTGGGATTCCATTTGGTCAGATTAAAAACCAAATCAAAAAAAGTTTCAACTGATATGATCGTATACTGATTTTATTGAAAAACAATTACTAGAATATTATATACGATTTTTGATGAAAAATGCATGCGCTTCGAGTTGAAGCAAAGTTCAAAATATACCGCGATAGCCAAAGGCGATACATATAAAGTTGAAAAAGCTAAAAAGTAAAAAGGCTTAAAACTACCGCATGTAAAAGTTGTACAATGATCCTGCAAGAGTATTAGAAACAACCACAGACCAAGAAATCTCCCCCATACTATTGATTTTTTTTGCAAGGGTTAAAGGTAGCTCACTTTAGGTACAGTAATACCGAAACAATGACTTACTTTGTAGACTTCTGTGTATATATGCATGTTTATTTGTTTGTTTGTGTGTTTGTTTTGAATGGTGCGTGCGTATTTTGTTTTGTTTTATTAAACAGATAATATCCTTATTATATCCATATAAAAAAAACACCACTCATAACTGTTCAAATAATAGGTTTTGAAGGGAAATATATATAATTGACACTAGTTAGAAGAAGGGAAGATGATTTTTACAAGCCTTCTTCAATGGATTTTATACGTGACAACCGCCTTTTCGAAGCTTTCTAAATATCCATTCTGTGGGATCTTGTACATTCTTTGAATACTTGGCTTTTGTGTTTACATAAGGGTCCAGTTATGCTTGAAAACCGTTTAATGGTTAGCAAGCATACCGTGAGCAGGTAAAAAAACTGAAAAATAAATGTGCATGTCTGTCCTGGAGAGGTGGTCTTTTGATGTATTTGTTAATATGAAGGTACCATTTCAAGATATAAACTTTTTATCACCACTCTGAAATGATGTTGGGGATCGCTTCGGTGCCCGAGTGGTTTAAGTAGTTCGTCTACTGTATCACTAGCCTGTCAACACTGAGGTTGTGAGTTCGAACCACGCACGTTCGACTCCTATCTTGATCGACCCGGATTGCCAATTTTCCTGTCGAATGTCTGTGGTTCTCGACGGGCACTCTGGCTTCCTCAACCAATAAAAACTGGCCGCCACGAAATAGCCAATAGTACTAAAAGTGGCGTTAAAAACTAAATAATTACTCAATCAATCACACGATGTTGGCGAACATACAATAATCAAGAAAGATAGAAATTTTAAGTTCACCGATTGCAATTAACCTTTCAAAAATAACTTCATACAAGTCATGATATTCACAGAAAATTAAGAAATACCAGTTTTAGAGATTTAACATAAGATTTCCCTATAATTTATTTGCACTCTACTATTGTATATAGTTTTAAAATGACAGAAATGAATAAAACTGGGGATTAGATAAAAAAAAAAAATGTCGACTACAATAACCTACTGTATTTCACTTCAAAAGGAAGTTTGACTTGTAAGATATGATATGCAACGTAGATCAAATGATATATTTTTAAGTGACAAACCAATATGCTTACGATTTTGATCACTTGATTTGGGATTAACAAAGACAACATGATATTTGTAGTTCACTGTAAGATCTTCTTTGATGCTTATTTCTATTTGATACGTTGACTACATAGACTATATGTCGAACTAATAGGAAGATAAAATCTGTATTTATATTCCGGGTACTTTTTCTAAGAGAAATATATAAAGTCAACTTTACTGCGTTTAGAGCCAAACTGTAAGTTACGCACGGGACCAAAATGATTATAAAATCTGCACGGTCCATGACCAACTTTGGCCGCATGGTGTAACACTTTCTTTAGAATATAGACCGTAGAATTATCTTCGTGTCTGGAAGTTTTTCATGATGACATGCGATAGTAATGAATCGACAGAAGTTTTCAATCTCTCATGCAATCATCACCATTTTCACCGTCGGTATACTGTTCTTCATCTGGTGAAAATAACAATTTATAAATTGCGAGCGTCTGAAGCGCTACACTGTCTTTTAATGTTATACGGTTTCTAATAAAGTGAATGACCAAGCAGATGATCACTTTAAGAAGTTTCTCCTCGACGTTGGGTTTTCTTAAATTTTTCTTAGGTTCGCTCTTCTCTTCTAATGCAGCCTGATGTCACGCATGAGGTGGTAATGCCTGTTTGATACCTTTTCTTATATCTATATACCTTTTATAAAACAAAACCATATCGAATTATGGACAGACAAATCAAGTTATGCTGATAATTAAACGTAGACAAGACCTTGAACTGTTGTCAGTGTCTTCAGAAAAAAGTGATGCCATGCATAGAATGATTCTTCTACCACAGTTTTTCCAGGCAGTCACCACTTTTGTATTGTGCTATCCCGAATAAGTTAAAGACAACACTAAACGAGAAAGAGAAAATTCTGCGAATCGCCAATTAAGCGTCTTTAAATAGCCACAAGATTTATAGTTTATATCAAACAGGTTAACATAGTAAAATTCAGCTGACGCAACCAAATCTATCTCGATCATGCCAGATGTCAACCGATAATTCAAGAGAGTTGAACACAGTCAACCATCCAACAACATCAATGTAAAAAAAATGTATTTACCTTTACTGAGTGGCAATATACCTACTTCTGCTGCATACAGTGTTCATTTTTAACTGTATAGCTTGTTACAACTAATGTGATTTCCTCAACAGAGCAACCTTGTGTCTGAGAAATCCAGTTTGCGTTATACTCAGACTGTGCTGTGAGGCCGCTGAGAAATTTACTAATTACCAAATGCCAATGGTTTTCATAGGACTGCAGTCATACTAGTCTAATTTTTATCTTTCTTTTATCGAAATCAATTAACTACTGGCCGAATATGAAAGAAATACATGCTTTGACTGCTGACCATTAAGATAATGCTACAATAGAAACAACGAATTCTTTCCCATAAGAGCAGACGATAGATTTGAGTTCGTAGATTGCAAGCTTTTTTTTAACATTATTGTGATATTTTTATATCATGATATGTATATAATTATCTATGCATTAGTGTCGGTGTTTTGTTTGGTTTTGTCTGTAATGTTTTTCCAGATAGGTAGGAATCATTTTGGGCATTTGAGGCGAGCACGCTATATAAGTTGAGGAGGACAACTTGGCATGAAAACACTTTTCTATTTTTCTTTCATCGAAATCAATTCATTATTGGCCGAATAAAAAAAATGCCCTGTTTGCTTGGCATTAAGACAATACCACATGCGAAACAATAAATGCTTCCCCATAAGAGCGAGTAATATTTTCCACAGTTTTTATTAGCGTTCGTAATTCCAAGCTTTAGTTTTCAGTATTCTGAACTTTATTTCATATGCCTGACACTATTTATGTACTAGTGTCGGTGTTCTGTTGGTTTATGTCTGTCTTATTTTTCCGGACAGGTATTAATTATTTGGGGCATTTGAGGCGAGCAAGCTACTTAGTTTGAGGACAGCTTGGCACGAAGCATTGTTTTTTTTTTCCATTTTGTGTGTTTGCTTTTTCCTATTTGGTTTGATGGAGGTTTATATCTTTGACCTTTCACTTCTATTTCTGTTACTTTGTGTATTGTATGATTATGTCAATTTGGCCTGCGAGATCGCGACAGTCATATGGAAGTATTCGAATAATGTACACAACAACCGTTTACACAGAAGTTGTTTTATGTGTTGTCAAACAGCGAAATTTCAATAAGATTTGAATTGTTTATATATATTTTTTAATCTTCAGTTTACGACTGGTGAAACTTTTACTTTGGTTTATTTGGTTTATTTGTATGTTTTGGTGTTTAGTGTGGCGTCCATTTTGCTGAATTATGATACATTATTGTTCAGGAGTCGGCCGAAGCCCGCCTCCGGGTACGGGATTTTCTCGTTGCGTTGAAGACCCATTGGTAGCCTTGTGCTGTTTTATGCTCTTTGGTCGGGTTGTTGTCTCTCTGATACATTTCCAGTTTCAATTCTCTATTCAATCAACTGAACATCCAATGTCAAATGATCGAAAAACTAGAATTGGACGCTTGAAAAGATAGATAAAGACAGTTTTACAGGTGATATGTATGAACTGTAAAAAAAAAACCCATCTTCCTCCATTAAATAGTTTCTCTATTTTACAATCAATAAATTACAAATGTACACTCGTTACTCTTTTTATGCACAAACATTCATTTATGAACGAAACAGTTAAATATACAATATGTTACAACAATGACCGTGTTCCAATACTGTTGAAGCTTAAGACCGGGTAGACCCTGACAGACAGTTTCATATCAAATTACTTAAAAGAAAACCGTTAGTATGAACTCCAATAATTGTAACTATCTTACCACGTGTAAGTGTCTTTTATAATTTAGAAAAACGATTGGTATGTGTCACTGAGCATTTATTTTAGGAAATTAGCTTCAGTGTACATGAGGTCAAAAGGTTTGAAAGAAGAAATAAATGAAAATATTGTTTGAAAGGAAAAATAAATGCAAATAATGCTGTACTACATTTATTGAACTGATTTGGCCCGTATTCAAGAAGGGACGAACTAATTTTCTTCGTGTATTGCTACTTAATTTTCATGGGTATGATCAACTAATCATGTGGCACAATATATTTCCAAGTCATTGTTGATAATGTAAATACTAATTTGTAAGTATTATGGATTTTCCCCCCTTGTAATGACTTGATAAAATTAAGGGAACGTGGTCTCATACGATTGGATGAAAAAGAAAGCTTATTGTTGATATTTATAACGTTTAAATGACTCTCGAATAAGGTAAATCAAAGCTTTCCACTACACCGTGTATAAATAAAATACTCGATACGACAGAAAGTCGATTATGCATTTTGTTGAAAACTTTTACTTTTTATCTAAGTGTCACATTCATGTATAGACTAACATGATATCGTCTTCAAAATAACTTTGAAGTGATTTTGAGTTTAGAATTGTTGTTTGTTTAGTGTTTGTTTTGAAGTTCACGTAGTAATATGGTCAATAATCCTTCTTGGTCATTTATGAGTTACAGAAAAAAAAACATATATATCATTTCACAAATGTATAGTTAAGTTAGATTTTACCCCCAAAAATCTTGTTTTTTACATGAATAAAAGGAAATGTGCGATATACGCCTATGGCACAGCAATCAAACGGCACAAAATCACTGAATTGCGAATTGCAGAAAGTAAGGACAAGAGCACAGCGCAACGTTGTGATATAGTTGTGATACAAGTCTGGATTTTGGCGGTTTAGAGCTTGGTATAGACATTTGTCTATTGTTGGAGTTGCCACTTGGAACACTGGCCTCTTTTTATTCATTGAAGTTTAAGGTAGACACTCTGAGGGTAGACATATTTCCCTTTATTTATGTTTGAGGTGTGTCTTAATTTTTAAAAGCATGAACATAGATTTCCAGTGAAATAAAAAGATAGACGTACTGACACAGCAACCGGTACATTAAGATTATAAATGAGGATGTATGCTTTTACCAACAAAGAAAGGGATGTGAGGAACTAATTCAACAAAGCAGAGATTATCACACACAGAAAAAGCAACACAGTTATGAAATGAAACAATATATGACTATGGTATTCAAAGAAAATTTATTTACACAGAAGCATTTGAAGATTTTATGAAGGGCATTTTTAGTAAAAAAAGTTTACATTGTAAGATTTAATTTGTTATTAAAGGTTCTGAAAGTTGTGTTTTTTTTTTCTTATAGAGATAGCGTTTGATACCGGTATTAGTTTGGACGTTGTTGACCCAGACCTGTTGGGAACGGAAAAAGATAATGTTGCTGATCCAGTCAATACAGGTATGTGTTCATCAAAATCAACCAATTCATAAAGAAAGTCAATTAAAGTCTCGCAATTTGAGAGAAAGTTTTTTTTACCATACGTTACAAATTCAAGAAACATACAGACCGAAAGCGAAAATATATTATAGTATGCATACATTAATTATGGAAACTTTTATCAGATGAATGCGTTATGTTGAGAATCAAACAGATTTAACTACTGAATAAATCAATTTAAAAATTCGGACCTGCAGTTTACGGATTTTTTCGTGTATTTCTGATAGCGTGTGCATCGAGATTGGTTCACACTATTAGTACCATCCTTTGATATGTGCATAATTAGCCAATAAAAGTTCTCATATTTAATAAAATGTAAGGTACTTGCCTCCAAATATTTGATGTTGGTATAATTGTTAAAACTCCCTTGATCTTGCAGGGAGCTACTTGTTTAAAGCAAAAAATGATGGTGACACCAGAGCTTTGACATTGAACATACTGGTACGAGATTTCAAGTCGGCAGATTCGCTGTACTTTAGGGCTCATCCAACTTTCCTAAAATGTATACAAGCCGCCATGACCAAACTCAGAAATGCTGATAAACAGGTAAAATATTATAAAAATAGATAGTAGCAAAGAAAAAAAACCAAACGTAACAAGAATAATATTTTAGGATTTTCTCCTGGAGTTTTCATGAAATATGAATCAAGAACGTCCCTCTTAAATTGGCAGTTTTCATACACTATAACCAAAAGCAATAGCTTTACAAAATTGAATGCCGTATGCAAGGCACGCCCGCACAAAAAAAAAATTCTATTTTAAGGAATTTTAAACTTACAAACTGAAAAAATGTATCCAGTAGATATCAGTTCTTTATACTAGACGATCAATGTAGTAGAAGATTCCAATTTCAGCAGCACATATTAATGCCAAAAGTTCTTTTTCACAAACATGTAATTGCGAGGGTACACACTTTTTATCAAGTCTCAGACACAAATGTATATCTTGTTTAAAATTGTTAATAAGTGATAAACACATCTCTCATACTATACTTCTCTGTTTCAAGGTCGCAGTTAAGCAAGGGTTTCAAACACACAATGACGTTGGAGGTGGTACCTCAGACAGAGAAAATTACCTTAGAAGCGGTGCTGGTATCACACTACAGGCTAAGCAGGGAGTAACTGTCACTCTGGACGAAATCGTCACTGCTGTCTTGCAAACATGTCCTGTTCCTATGATGGTAAGTAGCAGTTCTTAAACCCCTTGAGCATACGCCCTCTTCCAATAATTTTATGTATTGTATAGACAGTTGTCATCTATAATTTGTTATATTCAAATTGAAGATGACAACATATTGCGGTTCTATTCACATGCATCTTGCAATCCAAATTACTAGTATATATTCATTCCTGTCTGGAAACAATGATTCCTGTTCCGGTGTCTTAGTTTACGCCATTTTGAAAATATTGACCTCTTGTAACTGTCAGCGTATTGTCGTTTCGGTGTGCTCTATAGTGTATTCCTTACCAGTGCGTTTATTCCGTCGGAAATGAAACACTAGGGGAAACACGCCGGGGATCATTTTCATAATTATTTCTCCAAAAGGAAGTCAATTCCAGAAAAGATTCACTGTTGCATGACAACACTAGTATATAACATGTATATCTGTCTTCGAACCACGCCGTCTGTAGTAGCAATCATGTTTCGATAACATCTTTAACATTAGGTTTGTCATCAAAACGCAATCAGACCAATTGATGCCTTTTGATGAAACATCATTTCTGTCTTGAAAATGGTACCTGCTCCAATTATTTAAAATATTTAAACTTGTCGATAATATCTCTGGTATGTTATGTCCAATCAAGACAAAAGCAAAGTGATTAATTATCAATGAATCAAATCATATCGCTACGAAATGGCAACTTCTGTACTCCACAAAGTATCGAACCAAACTATTATATAGAAAATCTGAAAATATTTCATCTGCCGCTCATCTCAGCTGTTGCAAATTAGACATTTGGCTTTCAGTAAGAGAGCATATAGGAATCTCTTCCTCAAAAATGAAATCTCAGGAGAAGTTAAATCTCAATGTTATTACACCTTTACCGGTAAGGACCCATATATACTTAAGGAAACACCAATAGGATATAAAATAGAAAGAAGTCAGATATTCCATAAAAAAGCGAATTAAATACACACTCTAGCGTATGAGCAATGTTAAAACATCGAATCTGGCCACTTAAATCGCTAAGTAGACCATACATTTGTAAGATGGACAGGGACATGAATGCCATCGACTTATTTTACAAGACGACAACATATATGCAAAAATCTTTCGAGATACCAATATCACGAACTAAAACACATGATAATGTTTTATCCACGCATCACTTAAGTCTCGATTCCTTAGTAGCAGATTCCCTAAGCATTGTAGCTTTTACTATTTTATAAAAATAAGGAGATGTGGTATTATTACCAATAAGACCACGATCGACCAGACACAAAAAGATAATGCAAACAACCATAGGCTAGCATAGGGGACTAAAAGGCATGAACTTAAACCCATACCGTAAAGTAAATCAGTCTTGGATGGAAAGCGGTCTCATTGGCACTCATACCACATCTTCTTATATCTATTTACATTTACTCAAATTATTTATATATAACAGAAATTAGAGAGAGACATTGGCATTGAGAAACTTGCGGATGGCGTCCATGTTCACATGAAAGGAGCTACCCATACTTCAGGACCAACGTTCACTGGCGTGTCAGGAGAGTATGATGATATAAATGCTGGCTTAGGTAATACTGTCTTATTACAATCAATTGAAACACTGATATATATATAAGATTGTTTTTTTTATTTGTTTTGAATATGCACTTGGCCTTTAACAGTCCTATACAAGTAGGTGAATGGGGATATGAATGCCTAATCTCCATCTCAGATTTCTTTGGTCTTCAAACTACTTAGTAGTCTGAGTATACTATTTTAGATATAAAACAATGACCATTTTATATCTATTCATCAAACTTGAATACCCTCTCTGTAAAAACAAGAATTGAATGTTAACAATATCACTAGGCAATGAATATATAGATATGTCAAAAGTCCGTCGTTTGCAATGAGAAACAACCAAAATCTTATGAATGAAAAAAACAGAAGGTGCAAAAACTAATTAAGTACTGTATATTTTCTTAAAGTTTCATCGATCGTGTATTGGAGGAGGTGCGAACACAAACGGACATATACGGCGATCTTTTTACTGTACATTATACAACTTGGCCATACTTTGGAAATACAAACTTGCTTCATTCATAGTTACATGGAAAGCAAAAATAATCTGAAAATTTATTCATAACCATTGAATAAGATCTTTCTTCTGTGTTCATTTTAGATCCACAGAAAATACCAGATTGTTCCAATCTTAACACAGTTGCAGATGGTGCGTACTATCCTGGTGGATACGATGATCCAACAAAAGTAGTAGGTGTAGTTGATGAACCAGTGGATAGAACTATGACAGTAGATGCCAGCAGGTATGTGGGCAGAATTGTTTAAATAATTGATTTGTCAAACAGGTATCGATATGACGGTGGAAAGTAGCGGGTAAGATACCGGAGGAATAGAAATTCAAAGTAAAGAATAACAATTTCCCACAGTTAAATTGACCTAAGGTGGTTAAGAACATTCGTTGTTGGTCCTTTTGATTATGTAGCCCATGTATAAGTACATCTATGGCAGTCCGAGTTTTTTATCTTTTGGCATATCGAACTCAGAAAAAGATAGTTTACTTTAATTAACTTTGTGTCACACGTGAAACAGCTCCTTTTAACCCTTCCGGAGTAACTGAGATCACTTCCGGTTTTAATCTTTAGTTTTCTATATCGTGTTTTGTATTCTGTTGATTATCGTTTTGTCATTTTTCGATTTTTGCCATGGAGTTGCCAGTTTGTTTTCGATTTCCCTTTGGTTTCTACTGTCTCTCTTTTGTACCATCCTGTATTGATTTAACATCGTCAACGCTCATGACTACAGTTTCATATAGGCACAGAAAATTACAATAAATATATTTGGAATACAACCAAAACAAAAATCCAAAAAGGCCCTTTAGAGATAAACCATTAACTTTGTCTTGGAGAGTATTTAGCATAAAAAATGGTTTCTTTATATAAGTTGACGTATCCTTTTTTCGGTAAACATGTTTATTACCATGTCAGCGCACCCGTTCTCGCTTCTTTTGGAGTTCATGCGATTTTCTCAGTATTTGTTTCTTAAATTGGTTTATCTCTTTTCGATCTACTATCGCCTTAGTTTATCAACGAATGATTTGGTTATCAACACATACTTGGATGTGATTTGTCCGTTAGAAAACTCCCCTTTGGTTTACACTTTCGTAACCTATTTAAACACTGTGATTTATTTATGTGCAGTACACATGAATGAAATCCTGGGTTCTAAGAAAATTGAAATTGAAGTAAAAAAAATAAAAAATGTTCGTGTTCAGAATTATAAGGATTTAAGGGCATACGACACAGTTTTGATCCCACGGTGATTTATTACGAAAATTTGCATACAAGCTATTTTTCACCCAGTCAATTCAAATATGTAATAAAAAATAAACCTTCATGTGCCACTTTAAGAGATAAATGGGGTCGAAATTTTAGACATTTACTCAAAATTTTTGTTTTTTGGACATTTCTATCCCTTGGATAGACATACCTAACTTTTTTGTTTCAAAAGATAAACAAAAATGGATTTTTGTAAAAACATTTGGAAAATCTTCTTTACATAAGTATGGTCTAAATTTGTATAACAATTCTTTGGAAATAATTAATTTTTATCAAAGTTTCATGATTTTAGAAAATAAACGGCATTTTTTGCTGTATATTTATCTAATTTAAAAAAATTTCATCTGTGACTTTTTCATAACATTTGGTACAAAAAATCAGAGGTTATTGATGGGTAAACTTGATCGCTGACTCAAAAACTTTACATTCAGTTTGTGACTTCATCGACCCAATGTACACATCAATTAATAACCTCTAAACAAAATGTGGCTATTAGGTTAAAACTACATGACTGTAAAATTCAGTAAAAATACTTTTTTCCATTCTCAATTTTATTTTTAAAATATACTGTTTAATTCAATTTTTTTAGACTTGTACAGTATTTGGGTAACAACGTCGACTTCAGTGATTGTGCAAATTATGCAGGAAATGCATTAACTGGACCTACGCTAAGGTAAGAACAATTTTGTACGGATTAATACCAGAGCATATAAAGATATTACACACAAAAAAAAATCAAATGGTAAAAAGAAGTATTGCAAATTGTAGAATTTGTCCTGCAAAATAAATATTTGTGATCCTAATCCATAAAAATACTATTTTATGGCAAGTTATTTCAGCTTAATGACTTTATTTCATCTATGAACTTTTTGTAAAGAAAAATGTTGAAAAAATCCAATTAGGTTTAATTTTGATTTTAGGTGTGCACAAAGAACGATGACAACAAGAATGTACAATGCCGTAAAATACTTACAAAAAATGGTTATAGATAATATGTCAGGTAAGACAAGATATATAGCCAATGCTTTAATCGTTGATATGAGAAACACTATCAAATACCAAACAACAAGCCTGCTTTAATTGAATAAAAACAAAAAAGATATTTAATATGACTTTTTAATCATTGTTTGTATTGCATTTTTCAATAATTACATAAAAAACTAGAATCAAATTGCATATTCAAAAAGAAAAGGGCATCATTGTATGATAATTCTTCACTAAGCAAGCAATCTAATAAACACATATTGTTATTAGATGTTTAGTTATGGAGACAATACTACAAGTAACCGAAACTAATTTAATTCATCGACATTACTATGCGCTTTCACAAAAATCGGCCGAAATTGTGGACATCCAGATATTTTATAACAACACTTATAATAAGTAGTAACGGTTTTATCCAATAGGCAAGTTGGAGATCACAAAAGCATGGGACGATACAGGTGCAAATCCAGATTCTCTCCATTCGGAAGGTAGAGCTCTGACAGTACAGCTCAAGGCATCATCTTCGTCAGCAGATATGACAACGCTGTCACGATATGCTATATGTGCGGGTGTAGATTATGTTGCACACAAAGGTTTGTATGCTTTGATATTGTAAACAATAATGGTATCCTTAAAGTAAGTATTGTAAACCAATGCTATCGATTTGGTTTATATTTTTCTTTATAAGAAATAATTCAAAGACGGTACTAAGAAAGCCTAAAAACAAATATAATAGTGACATTTCTTTTATAAAAGCTTAATCAATGATTTCCTAGTAATTTGTTGCATTCACCCATAATGTTTCTCTTTGAAATTTATATTGATGTGGACTGCATCATGGCTAGTACCAGTGTAGAGAAGAAAAGTTATAAGGTAAAATTAGGAAAATACAATTTAAAATGAAAATAACACTTAGTAAATTTCATGTGTCCTTAGCCCTTCTTTAGATTTACATTCACCAGGAACACGAAATACATACAGAATTTATGATAAGCAAAACAAAGGGCCAAGAAATCACTGTTTTTCAAAGAATTTTTTTTTTTCATAGGTGATCACCTCTTGCTAGCTGTAAAGAAAATGAAGGGTGATATAGCTAATATGATCCAGTTTAAATCCATTCAACTGATGGCAGTAGAACCACCATCTTCGAAAGCGTCATACTACAGTTTGCCATCTGAATTTACAGAAACTGAGATTAATGCCAAATATTCCCTGTTTGACAGCAGTGGTCGGGTTAGTATAAACATTAATATTAGTGTATCAGTAACAAGTAGATGGTAGAAATGCATTTTGTATTCGAATTAGTCATGCCTTTTATGTACTGTATTAGTGATGCCTTTCACCACATTTATTAGAAGTAATATTCAGGATTTGTATCAGCACTCATATTCAGCATCTATTTGGTTTACATGATATAACGTTTAGGAGATGAGACAAAAAGACAATTTTTAATTAAAGGGAACAACTCAATAAAGTTTGGTGACCGTCTTTTAGAATTACATTCATTTATCATAATTGATACAAAACACAATACATATTGAAATAATTCAATTATTGCAGGAAGATTTCAAGCTAAACGACAATGCTACAGTTGGAATGTTTATGTCACAAGATCCAGACTACCGTTACTTTAGATTAGACCCTAGAATAGTCGAATGTTATTCTTCAATAGTTGACAGTGAAAACAAAAACTCAGATGACTGTAAGTATGATATTTAGAAATACTTGTTTATTTCGGAATTGGCTTGTTAAAACGATATTGTTTTTATTGTAAAATTTTCAGTTTATAAATTTTGTAATTGCACTAATAGAGGTTGTGACTTCTTCAGGTAAAGATGTCCTCAGACGAGAGGTGTCATCTTTAGACTCATTTAGATTTGCTGTTCTGTTTTTGACATCTAAAACTTTTGGTCTCGATCGAACCTGGTGAAGGTTATGACCGACACATTTTTGTGCTTACTGAATTTGGCAGTATACCTTCATATAACTACTACTTGGTCGATGTCTCTGCTAATGGTCCGTTAGTCCCCGAGGGAATCATTCACCCAGATTTCAGAGCCTTGGTAGGATTTAAAAGATGTATTTTAATTGAAAATGTTCATGTTATAAATGATGACATTGCAGTAAAAGTATGGCTGCAACTCTCTCAAATTTGACTGTCATGTTGAAACTCGTTGATATGTTGCTGCTCTCATTTATTTTAAGTTTACTTATTTTTGATTCCAAAACTGCTGGTCTATCGCATATCTTACGATGGTTATTCCAGAAACGCGTGTCATGTACATGCAAATCGATAGACTGCATACCTGTCACTTGGATTTGATGTTTTGTATGTCTTTAATTCAATCACATGACAATGCTTTTCGTAAAATATAAAGAATAAGTAGATCTCGAAAAAAGATATGTAGAAAACAATAAAAAGTGCGTTTGTTTGACTCTTCAAACAAACATTTGACATGAACGTTCCTGTAAAATCGTTATCATTGTTTTTGTTTTCAAAAATTAAATCTAGACTCAGAGAAAAGGCGATATCATAAATCGGTTCAGTAGTTTATCAGATGTGTCTTGACCAATCTCATAGAAGAACGAGAAATTCAACACAGACTTGCTGAACATATGTAAAATATGTCTTCAATATACCCTTAAACGTAAATATTCTTAACCGAACTGTGTATGCATTTTACATATTTGTAGTGATTGAAGTAGAAGTGATTCGTGGATATATATCCAACCCTGAACAAGCATCTTTGATGGATGTTATGGACGATAGATACGAAACACACACTTTGGGCGTGGCTTTGCAGATTAGGTACAAAAATGGAACCGTCAGCTCGGAGTTTACGCCTCAAAGGCTTGCACAGAAGGCTGTAGAGCAATGTTCGCCTGTTTTCAATCACACTGGAAGCGATGAAGAGGCTGTGGGAATTGGCATATACAAAGACAGTGTTTTTGTTGATATTAGAGACCAGTTTGAATTATGGGTTGAAAAAGATGAATATATTCCAACAGGATATACACTTGAGACTTACACTGATTTCATGGAAAAAAGAGCTGAACTTGCAAATGGTATGTTTGAAAGTAAAAATAAAAGATAAAACGTTTTAAAAATGTTACTTCATATCTAACAGGTTTCGGGGGTCCTCGGTGGTCAAGTGGTCTAAGTAGTTCTACTACTGTAATCACTAGCCAGTCAACACTGAGGTTGTGAGTTCGAACCCCGCTCGTGCGGGTGCACTCGACTCCAATCTTAATTGACTAGGATTGTCAGTTTTCCTATCGAAGGTCGGTGGTTTTCTCCGGGCACTCCGGCTTCCTCCACCAATAAAAACTGGCCGCCACGAAATAGCCCAAAAGTGGCGCTTAAAAGTGGCGTTAAAACACCAACAATCAATCAATCAATCTAACAGGTTTCCGCAGTTGGGTAAATAAAGTAAATTAACTAAGTAGATAATTAAAGAGAAAATTGCTTTAGAAACAATCTCGTAAGAAATCACCATTAATGAAGTCAATTTGACCTGCAATGGAAATTTACACTAGAAAGGTTTTTGCTAATACAATTCTGTATGCGCGATTATAGATGATATGTAAATGATATGAAAATGTTTCAGACTTCCGTATTGTTGATCCAGACGACATGACAGAAGCATGCGCACTTGCACATCCTCCAGCTAAGCAGTCACTTACTTATGATTATGATGAACCTGAAATATCCAAACGCAAAAGACGACGAAAGCGTGCAACGGCTGACGACTGCATACCGACCTATTCTACACCCCATTGCTCATTGGTTGCCAAGCATCTTCAGGAAGAGGTAGACGAGATTTGGACCGAGACTAATAGAAAATGGATATATCGTAATGCAACTGAGGTTAAAGAAGCGCTGGATAATTGTTTAGGAATCTGTGGAACTTGTCTTACAGGTATTTATTTACAAAGTTAAGATTTGATATTATTTGGAGGTATTAGTCTATGTATCTCAGTTTTAGAGATAATATTTAATATTCTACTTATGTTTTACACGTCTTTTATGCAAAACTGCATGCTTCAATTTGTATAACCATATGTTTACAATCATATGGCCAACAACTTTTTAACTTTGTGTTTCCTTTTCTTTAATTTTTTAAGAGGATGATTTTATAATATACTTTTTTTGTCGGAAAGAAAGACACGATGTTGACTAGAGGAAAAAAAACTCAGTATAGTGTTGTGACACATTTTATTAAAACATATAGTTGAAGTCTAGATCTGTATTGGGATGTTTCTTAGCTTAAGCAGAAATCACATCAAATTTATCAAGAGATTAGTTTTAATCATTGGTGTCTTGATAGTGATAGTCTGGGGAATTTTTTTGCATTGAACTTGTTATGTTATACATCTGTATATAAAACAACGTTCAGTTACTGTCTGAAGCCGAATGAGCGCCCAAAAGAGGTAACAGTTAAACTAACAGTATGATATTTGTTATGTTATTTCGTTATCAATTTTATACAATTTATAAATATATACTTGTAGGTGCAATTTATGAGTCTAAACTAAAGCACTGTAACAATTTACTTCATTGGCTACCATTTGAAATGATGAACACTGATCCAGACATTACAAACTTTTATCCACGAGATAACCTGCAAGCAAGAGGGCTGGCCTGTAATGGTGGTGAACATTGTCTGGAAAAGGCACCGTTGTTTTCTATTTTAAGTAAATATATATTCACGTCTTTATGTCATATTAAGTTTCTTGCCCGAGACATGAAAATATGTCACATGTTTGTGTTTCTGAAACATTATAAACTTATGATTTAATTTCATTCATCTAATATATTCTGTTGAAATTTACCTTCAGAACAGAGACTTCAAATCTGAACTTCGGCCAGATAATTTCAAGTCCCTGTTCGTCGGAGGAGTATGCTATATTTATTTTATACATTCTATTGGACTGTTCTTCTTTGAAGTATCTATGGGTAGCCATTTTTAAATCAAAATTTTAAGACTACTACAATTTATTTGTGGATCTGATATATTCCCGTTTATTTTGCATTCTTTATCATCTGAAAAATAAATAGACAAAGTTTATTCAAATTAATCTTTAAAAAGCAATAGCTTCAATTTTAAATTCAAAATAAAATAATGAAAGGTGTAAAATACATACTGTATTGCATTCATTACTATTGACTTTTAGTGCCATCTATCAAGAGATTATACAGACCAGACCCCAACAAAAGTGTGAAGGAATTGATATATGCATCTGAAGAGAACCCCACGCCATGCCCACAGATTCTGGATGAACTGTATGCCAGTCATGCTAAAGGAATCGTCAAATTTTGGGTTGCAGACGAAACTGACATAACCTCGTTTAAACATGGATTACAGGTAAGCTACATTTTACTAAGATTATAAATAGGAAGCGAAGTGAGTAATATATCAATAGCTGTAAACGCCCAAAATGATTTTTTAGTAAAAATGAGTTGATTTATTAATGTTAACTAAAGAAACATATAGTGAAAAGTCAATCAACCATTAATTCTGGAGGAGAACGTGTTCATGTGCTGAATCGGATTCTTAAAGTGGTAGCTCTTAGAGTAGGAGTCCGCAGGAAGACAACAATGATTGGGAAATAAAACGATGAATAAGCTCTAAATAGTCCGGGAAGAGAAGTCCATCAAAGATCTGAATGTGTATACAATATTTCAAACAAATACAAAGTGTTGGCGACAAATGATTCTTGACGCATAAAAAGCACATAACGGTACCATGTGAACGGGTTTAACTTTTTTTTTATATCTAAATCATTTCCTATGTCAAATTAAAAAAAAATACAGTTAATTGTTCGATAGTAAAGAATCAATCATATTTAGAGAGGGTTTGTGCTACATTGAGAACTTTTGCGGTACGAATATTTGTTTTGAGAAGAGATAATTTATTTTCTATGCGATTTAACATTTATAGTTATTTTTATTTTTATGTAAGTTATTTTTATTTTTATGGAAGTTATTCTCACCACATTTCTGGTCAGGATATGATTTGGAAATTACTTTCAACATATTGCTTTTTATAATATCAGGTAATACATTATTAAAATACTTCTTTTCCTGCTCCCTCCACCAAGACTATCAAATAATCATCCCCTAACGACAGCCATTGTGGTTAGCAGTGTTCATTGAAATTCACATTAAAGAATATTTCAATCAATAAGCACCAGATTTATCACTTAATCTCTTCTATTCTTAAATGCATATCCTTCTATATTTTTAGACTGCTATGTTGTACAATAAAGATGTGACCAAAGTACACGTTTACGTGCTTAACGCTCACAGCAAGGAGGTAGTTGATGGTGTACTTCAGGGTTTCACAAGGGAGTTTGCTACCACTGGATGTCCAAAATATACAAGAGAAACTGTAGCTGAGTTTGAAGTCCTCGATCCACCTCACCGTAAGTAATTCTTTAATATCCTGAGTTAAGTCAGACAATTGTATGACAAATACTTTAAATGAAGATGTTTCAATGTCAGTTCTGAAAGCCAAAATGTACATGTTTGATGATGCATGATCATTCTTAAATTAAAAAAGATAATAGTATATGCAGTACACCCTAAAACTAGTGGTATTGAAGTTAATGTTTTTCTTCCTCACTTAAATGAAGCCTATGGAATAAAATTTCACAAGCTAGGATTGTGACCTTTTATATGTTATTGTTTAAATTGAATTAAATAAGCATTTAATTTGCTTATTTTTTGCCATAGCTCATTATAATTATTTGATTATTTCACATTTCCCACTACAACTATTTGAAGAATTAAGTTAAAACCAATGTTCAACACCTGATTATTGATTTAAAGTGTTGACCCTTTTGAATATATTTTTCATTAAAAAGTCTCCGAGCTAACATCCGATCACAATACTATGTTGAAATGTTTATTTTTGCAGATGTGCGTAGGAGAGCTGCATCACATATCCATAACCACAAAAACAAGTTGGTACAAGACGCAATGAACTGGGAGATGAACGACTTAAGAGGACCTTAGAAATATCTATGAGTGCATCATTACCTTTTTGTTTTTATGTTAAATCATTATAATATTTAATTTTACCAAATATTATTCTATTTTAATTTTGCATTTTATAGTTGTTAAAAAGTGCTTTGAACTTCATCGTTAAATATTGTCAAAATACTTATTTTATTCTCTGTAGCTGTTGTAGGAATCCGTCCATTTTTGTACTCTTTTAAAGAGCAATTGAAATATAATTAATATTTTATTCAACAAGAACATAGGAACCATGAGTTTTTTGTAGACAAAATGCGCACCTGCATACACAATTATAAGCCTGGTATCTTTAATGTTTTTTTAAGCCCACCAGACAGTATGTCTTCAACTACTATAAAATATTTATACCGGAACTAACTAATGACAAAAACAGGTACTTTCCAATATACATTCTTTGATACTTTGAAAAATTTCATTCAGATTTAGAATATGAAAACAAATATAATAACAAATACGTAATGTTATTTTGTTCTCTATACGTTTAGCTCATATACAATATGTACATCAGAAAAATAAAATATTATAGTCTGTCCAAGGACGGATAAGGAAATTAAAAGCATAAATTTCACATTTTCTTTAAATGGTTTTACTTTTAGAAGTTCAAAGTTTTAGGACTTAGGAACCTTGATATGTATTGATTGATACTTAAATTTTACTTTTTTTGCTATCAAAATGTTTTTGTTTGTATTTTTTAATATTCACTTATTTTTCAAATAAGTGTTGTTTATTCATTCCTACATTTTAAAATTAAAACAGATGTGATAAAACATTGATCAGTATTATATACACATTTCTTATTTTCTTAAATAAAAATATCTTAGAATATTGAGTTTTTTATGTATAATCTACCATTATTGAACACCAAAATGCCATGTCCAGATAATATTATTGGCACTTCTAATACTGGCAGTTCATTCAGTTTCAAATTATTTTTCGGTTTAATAGTCCTCAAACAAATTGGGCTTTATTTTCTAGTTGGAATAAGTTGTCAAATATGTAAATATGTACCAAATATTTTTTTCTCAAATTGATATCAAAATGTCAATAGCCTTTTCCCCCAAACTTGACTCTTCTGCTGAAAATATGATGTTAATGAATGTACCATGATCTTGGAACTAGGACATTTGATTAAGATGGTTATATGTTCTTCCCATCATAAAGCTTTTGACGTTGATTGGTGAGCATTTTTCTCAAACCTAAAAAAACTAGCTTTCATGCTATCAAGCTTTAATTGCACTAGTCTTGTTATGACTTTGCTCTTTGACATTGACATTAAGCCGGAATCAAGCTCTTCCAATAACGGTTGACGAAGATACAATTCGAAACTGTAGCTATGCTGTGCTTTTAATTTTAGTCAAAACAATCCATGTTGTGACCTGACATTTGATCCATTAAATTGATAAAAGATGAAGTGCTGACTATCAATGTTACTAAGTGTTAGACCATATTTGGTAAAAAAAAAACTAAACGTAAGATTGAAGTTACATGTTACAGTTTAATTCTTATCTGTTCTTATCTGAAGAAACTACGCATTCTTTCAATTTCAACAGCACCATAAAAATTCTCTCACTTAACAACAGAATTAGCAGACATCAACTAAACCACAACTCCCCTTCACCCCAAGCTCCATATGCCATAACCTCGAGTAAAATGGTCACACTATATTGATGCGCAAGTAAGACTAGACCTGCTGAAAATATTTTGAAAGAAATTTATGAAGACAAGGATCGAAGCCTTTATACATCCTTAGCTTTTAAGTATTCGGTTCCTGATGAAGGTAAATCCAGAAATGTGTTTCGGCCACAACTAACATTTCAAATATAGCCACAAAAGCTACCACATACTCCTACAACACCTCTTCAAATCGCACGAAAAACTTCAAGTTATGTGCGATTGTGACCAGAGAAGGTAAAACTCACGAAAAACATAGAACGAGGATTTTCATACAGTGGAACACTCCAAAAACACATTTAAAAGGAATATAAAATTGAGAATGGAAACGGGGAATGTGTCAAAGAGACAACAACCCGACCAAAGAGCAGAACACAGCACTAGGCAACCAACGGGTCTTCAACGCAGCGAGAAAATCCAGCACCCGGAGGCGGACCTCAGCTGGCCTCTAAACAACACTGTATACTAGTTCACACTAAACTTCGAAACATATAAATGAACCAAAATTTAAAAAAAAACACACAAGACGCACATTTATCAACCTTAGAAACATGAAAAATGAAGAAAACATGGTAACATTTGGAATTTTTAGGGAAATACACAGAATATGTCATCATCTGGAATTTGAATTTTCCATTGTGTTTATGGAATCAGAGCGCAAAACTCAAAGAAAGCACACAATAAGGAATTTGAACGTTTTATTTTAAACACGAACCAGGAAAGGCACAAAATTTGAATCAACAAGGCGATGAAAAAAGACAGGGATTTCTTGTCACCAATGCGCAAAACTATTTCCCAATCAATAAATTCCTCTTGTTAGGTGAATGATGACCAAGCATGCGATGTTCCCACTTTCATATATGCACGTAACGTCACTTGCTGAACTTTAGTATTGAAATATCTGTACCGGAATGTGTAAAAAACGACATGATATAAATTAAATATCTAATTTTAAACAAAATAATTTAAATACGACCTTTTTTGTATTATAATTTGCAAATTTCAAGATGTATACCGGCCATTGGCAATCAAAACTGTCTGTCACAATATTAATACTAGGATGTACGATTTGTACTAGAGTAGACTATCAACCTAAGCTGTTTATTGTGTAGATTTCAAAATGTAGCATGAAACAATATTCGGATGATAGGGTTGGTGTACACAAAATTTTGTTCTGTCTTTTAAGTCTTTTTAAAACTGATGAAACCGTGTTAGACCGTCATACAAGTGGAAGAATTTGCGCCATAAAACCTGATTATCTCCCACTTATCCACTGAAAGTCGACTGCATATATTAAGGCACATCCTCCAAACTTAACAAATATGTTATTATAATAAAGCATAAAGCATATTGATGTATTCGAACCAGTAATTTTACTAAAATCATGTGTCCCTTCAAAAATCAGGATATTTGTAGCTATGTTGGCTATTCTTTCTCATGAATGAAAGTTCTGTCTAAGATAAGAACGAGAAATACTTGTTTAGCTTGATATACATATGGGTTATTGAGTGAATAGACATCATCAATATAATTACCTGAGAGTGAATTAAAGAACTTTGGAAGATGTTTTTTTTTTCTTTTTGTCTATGGGGGTTTACATGAATTTTGCTTCATATGAGTGCAAAAACGACCGGTAGGGGTGCACAATTAATACCTATTGGAATACCGACTGCCTGTTGAAATAAATCAATAAATATTACTAGTAAACTAATGATTGTCTGAAACGGTAATTTTTGAACTGAACAGCTCTTCAAAGACTGAACCAGAAATTATTTTTATTATTTACTGATAAGTCATTTTTAGTCTTTCAGTCAGTTTTCAGAATTATCCACTGCGGGAAACTCAGTACTGTTCAGAAAATTTGATTGCAGTCAATTAAGATCTTTTCAGTTTATGACCAGACTATTCAGTAGTTGTTATTTACCTGTACATATTACCATTATATTGAATTGTCTAAAAAGCTACTGAATAGTACTAAATTGACTGCAAACCTATTGTCTAAACTGTACTGAATTTACCGTAGTGGATTATTCTAAAAATTGAATGTTAGACTAGACAATGTTGTTGTTCAGACTTTATAGATGATGTAAAGATCAAAATGACCGGTTCAAACTAAAATTCATTTTCTAGTGTATGTGTCGATCATCCTCTGTGTATTGGTTTCTGGAATCAGTTCATTTCTTGACAAAGATTTTGTAGTAATCTTAAACTGCTTAAGAATCCACATCTGCTTGACGTACCCCATCACACTATTTTTAAAGGGCATCTTGTACTGTAGAAAGAAAGGCGAAAAAAACTTAAGAAAGATGTTTATAGAACATTTATTTTGACAACCTGGCTATATATCGTTTTTATAATGACTTTGTAACGTTTAGGTATCCGGTATAAAGACGGAATATTTTCATTGTCCTGTTCGATGCGAATTCCAAATTAAAGAAAGACGGATTTGTGATTTTCTAAAATATTCTCTTTTGAGACATGATCAAGAGGTATAAGTGGGATTCCAAGTTTTGCTGTGAATTACGATTTCTTTAGTTAGACATTCCAAATAATTATTTTTGCATAAATTCAATATTGTTAGAGGTTTTGTCTACTGGGATAACAACATATTTGTCGTGAAGAGAGATAAAGAATTCACAAACTCGGGTTACATGAAAGGGTTCGAAAATGTGTGTTCATTGTACGCCGTAGATTTTGAATGACCACTGAATGCATGAACAGACAGCCTTGATCAATTCAGATCAATTATCCAGTTTTGTACATCTGGCTCGTGATTTCCGTCATAATCTTCAATTACATCCGCCAGTAACCTTTTCTTCTTCGGGTTGATTGGCTGGAGAATTTGATATAACGGGCGTTTGGTTAACAACTCTCAAAGTTGTTCATTGTTTACGATGCCATTGTCTCCAGTTTTAATATGACAAGTGGGATTGTGTTTGTATATGGACGACAAACAAGAGCAATCTGGTATCAAGGCTTTAGTTCAGTGAATTCTATAAAAATTGTGTTCTATTCCTTATTATTAATCAGTTCAAAGACTAACTACGTATCTAGATAAAAAAAAATAGGAAACCAAGGTCAGATACAGCCAAATCTTCTTATAAAAGAGAGGCGAATGATACCAAAGGGACATTCAAATTCATTAGTCGAAAATAAACCGACAACGCCATGGCAAAAAAAAGAAGAAAAAGACCAAACGACAAACAACAGTATACAAAACACAACTTGGGAAACTCTCAAACCGATTGAAACTTAGACAGTAGAATAAACGTGATCACATGATTTTCCATTTGAGTACATGATCAACGGTATTTGTGTCTATGCATTTCCACGGAGTATTGTTTTTCTTCTACTAACAACAAACAATCTGAAGGAGTGTTACGGGTATCTGACAGTATCCAGACGGAGCTGCATATCTATTATCTATATATGATTTTACTATTTCAAACTCTTTGCGGAGCTTTTCTGTTAAATTGGGGACACATATTTCTTTTCCTCAGGCAAATATGACCGAAGATGATTTTGGATATTTTTTTATGTCCTTTTTGATCATAAAGCTCTTCAACTGTTTCGGTTCTTATACATCCTAGGCTTTCAAATATTCGGCTTTGAGCGTTCCTGATGAAGGTAAATCTAGAAAAGCGCTTCGGACGCATGCACTTTATAACGTGTTGTTTTCATTTTATTCGCCAGTGTACTAATAATTTACGATATACTCTACTGGTGACAGATATTGAAGTTGATGGAAAAAACAGATTGTTTAAAATGATGATTTATTCTAAATCTGATACAAATCATTTCTCTTATAAGGATTGTTTTTTTTCAAAAAGTGTTTTGCCGTGTGATATTGTATCATCCATTTTGCATCTTCACATTTATTCACAAATATATAAATATATTAACATTGATAAATTAACTAAAACATATATTCTAAAATTAACAATCCCGAAAGCGAAAAAGGAAAATCGGGACTCAAACGAAATAAAAAAAAATATCTGTAAAATGGTGTTTAAGAATTTAACCAAGTGTAATTCCAATTTTCCTTCTTTCTAATGTAAAGTTTTCCGTACACTATTTTACAAGCACTCCTATTCCTTTCTTCAACACACATGAAAAGCGTTCAAAATTATGATTTATAAATAAATAAATATTTT